ATTGGCACAGCACTAGTTTTGATGGCATGGTAATAAACTGTGGTAATTTATAGTGTTAATAACTTATAACGATATTCGTTAACTAGTTATCAAAGGATTGATTGCTTTAATTGACTAGCCCATTTTTATAACTTTCTACGAATCTTCCTGAATTTAAAATTATGTTACATTATTCTTATTACATGTAGCTGAACCTGTATTGGAAAAAATAATAAATTGATGATTTGATTTGAAAAGGGTGTCTTAGGTCAATCTTTAGGCTAATTCTGTAATAAAACCAATTCTTAAATCAAAAATTTGCAATTTAACTTTCTTGAGGATCATCAATTTGGCATTACAATACAATAACTTACTAAAGCAACCATTCCTCTCTCTGAAAAGTACCAAGTTACAAAGGTTAAAGTAATGTGATTCCACACTTGGGATTCATTAGTAAAGATATGCCAGAAAATGAAGTTGTTTATTAAAGTTTAAGAAAGAGTTGACTGTTGACTCAGCATTTGTAAGAATGGTGATATAATGTTATTGGCCATGTGAAACAGGAGTAAACAGAGCCTCCGTGTAATAATCTTCTAGTCCAAAAAATGTAATATAATTCATGCTTTATTCTCATACTGGAATAGCCTGACAACGATAAAGTCAGATACCGTTGTCTCAAATGGCGCATATAATCGTCGCTTCAATTAGATTTTCATGAACTGTATGTTTAATAGAGCACCTAGACTAAATTCCTTCGGAAAAACAATTAAAGTCACAAAATATTTTTTTCTTCTTTCCACAACCTTTTTTTACTATAACCAGGACGTTTCGGATCCTGTCTGGATCCTTTTTCAACTGTATAAAAACTGAACTGAAGCACTACAAAACAATTAAATAAAAACAATATTACGTCATATTAATTCACCAAAAATTCATTCCAAATTCCCGCCAATTTATAGTTCCCTTGACGTCCTGGTTATAGTAAAATAAAGGTTGTGGAAAGAAGAAAAAAATATTTTGTGATTTGATTAGCCAACCTGAAGAACATGTTTAAGAACAATGGGAGCCAGGACTCGTATAGATGGCAGTTAACTACTAGGTTGTTCTCCACAACTGGCCCATTGGTTTATGTGTAAATATTGCTGTTTTGAAACTTCAAATTCTCTACATATATCAAATAAATATCATATTTTCCTTCATCATTATTTACAAACATGTTTTAAGATTCAAAATTAGAAGTTTTGGATATTTTCAATAAGATTTATCTTTGGAGATTTTTCGAACATTTTTTACATGTTAAAGTATGCTATTAAACCTACTGAATTTTTCGCCATCTATTGACAGTCCTGAAGGCCATTAAAGTGCCTAAATACTCATTATGCAGTTAATAATGTTCTACCATCAAAATAAAGTCTTTAATTTAACTGATCAAAATGAGATAAAGGACAATAGACACTGTAATTACCATATGCCGTTGTCTTTCTAAATTACTCAAATTCAGATTCCGTTGTCATTGACGATATCGAAGACGCTATATTGTGGCGATTCACGACCCAATTTGATCGAAATTGCGATTTCATATGAAACATCATCACAAGAGCTTAATACATGCGCAGAATTAGCGACGATAAAATCCCATGAAATGAGGACCAAGTTGAAGCGACGGTTATGTCCGCCATAGTTGACAACGGTATCTGACTTTACTGTTGTCAGGCTATTCCGGTGTGATTTGGAGGCAATTTACTCAAAGTAATGTTGTATACACACTGTACTAGTGTACTTACATTCTGTAGTGTGTCAAAAAAGTAATAAATTATCTCAAAACTGCATTTATTTAAAGACGTATCTTTTGTTATGTTTTCTCTGAATGTCATGATATGTCATACAATCTGAATCCCTCTTGTAGCATCGTTCCAGATGTGAAGCCTAAATTCATAAATGTACAGTTTGGTTGAACGAAGAGACATTAATTATGTTTTTCAATGTGTTCTTGCAGGAAGACTTGTGTACGACAGAATAATAACCAAGTCCCAGTATGTCCCAAAGGGAATGAAGACACCTGTATGTCTACCAGGTAAGTCCCATTATGTTCCAAAGGGAATGAAGACACCTGTATGTCTACCAGGTAAGTCCCATTATGTCCCCAAGGGAATGAAGACACCTGTATGTCTACCAGGTAAGTCCCATTATGACCCAAGGGAATGAAAACACCTGTATGTCTATCAGGTAAGTCCCATTATGACCCAAAGGGAATGAAGACACCTGTATGTCTACCAGGTAAGTCCCATTATGACCCAAAGGGAATGAAGACACCTGTATGTCTACCAGGTAAGTCCCAGTATGTCCCAAAGGGAATGAAGACACCTGTATGTCTACCAGGTAAGTCCCATTATGACCCAAAGGGAATGAAGACACCTGTATGTCTACCAGGTAAGTCCCATTATGACCCAAAGGGAATGAAGACACCTGTATGTCTACCAGGTAAGTCCCAGTATGTCCCAAAGGGAATGAAGACACCTGTATGTCTACCAGGTAAGTCCCATTATGATCCAAAGGGAATGAAGACACCTGTATGTCTACCAGGTAAGTCCCATTATGACCCAAAGGGAATGAAGACACCTGTATGTCTACCAGGTAAGTCCCATTATGACCCAAAGGGAATGAAGACACCTGTATGTCTACCAGGTAAGTCCCATTATGTTCCAAAGGGAATGAACATACCTGTATGTCTACCAGGTAAGTCCCATTATGACCCAAAGGGAATGAAGACACCTGTATGTCTACCAGGTTAGTCCCATTATGTCCCCAAGGGAATGAAAACACCTGTATGTCTACCAGGTAAGTCCCATTATGTTCCAAAGGGAATGAACATACCTGTATGTCTACCAGGTAAGTCCCATTATGACCCAAAGGGAATGAAGACACCTGTATGTCTACCAGGTATGCCCCATTATGTCCCAAAGGGAATGAGGACACCTGTATGTCTATCAGGTAAGTCCCAGTGTGTTCCTAAGGGAATGAGACACCCGTAGATCTACCAGGTAAGTCCCATTATGTTCCAAAGGGAATGAGACATCCGTATATCTACCAGGTAAGTCCCATTATGTCCCAAAGGGAATGAAAACACCTGTATGTCTACCAGGTAAGTCCCATTATGTCCCCAAGGGAATGAAAACACCTGTATGTCTACCAGGTATGTCCCATTATGTCCCAAAGGGAATGAAGACACCTGTATGTCTATCAGGTAAGTCCCAGTGTGTTCCTAAGGGAATGAGACATCCGTATATCTACCAGGTAAGTCCCATTATGTCCCAAAGGGAATGAAAACACCTGTATGTCTACCAGGTAAGTCCCATTATGTCCCCAAGGGAATGAAAACACCTGTATGTCTACCAGGTAAGTCCCATTATGTTCCAAAGGGAATGAGACATCCGTATATCTACCAGGTAAGTCCCATTATGTTCCAAAGGGAATGAAAACACCTGTATGTCTACCAGGTAAGTCCCATTATGTCCCAAGGGAATGAAAACACCTGTATGTCTACCAGGTAAGTCCGATTATGTTCCCAATGGAATGAAAACACCTGTACGTCTACCAGGTAAGTCCCATTATGTCCCCAAGGGAATTAAAACACCTGTATGTCTATCAGGTAAGTCCCATTATGTCCCCAAGGGAATGAAAACACCTGAATGTCTACCAGGTAAGTCCCATTATGTCCCCAAGGGAATGAAAACACCTGTATGTCTATCAGGTAAGTCCCATTATGTCCCAAGGGAATGAAAACACCTGTATGTCTACCAGGTAAGTCCCATTATGTTCCCAATGGAATGAAAACACCTGTATGTCTACCAGGTAAGTCCCATTATGTTCCCAAGGGAATGAAGACACCTGTATGTCTACCAGGTAAGTCGCATTATGTTCCCAACGGAATGAAAACACATGTATGTCTATCAGGTAAGTCCCATTATGTTCCCAATGGAATGAAAACACCTGTATGTCTACCAGGTAAGACCCATTATGTTCCCAATGGAATGAAAACACATGTATGTCTATCAGGTAAGTCTCAGTATATCCCTAAGGGATTGAAGTCACCTGTTTGTCTCTCAGATAAGTCAAATTGTATCCCAAAGAGAATAAATACACCTGTCTGTCTAAAGATTAAACTGAATTGATGTACTTGATTTATCTGAAGCATCGGAGATTGAAAGACAATCTTATCATGATCCATTCTATTTTTGCAGAGGATTTCACACCAGGTCAGGTGCCAGATTCTGCCAAAGAGACATGCAGGAATTGGTTCTTTAAAATTGCATCAATTCGAGAACTTATTCCACGATTCTATGTTGAAGCAGCCATCTTGAAATGCTACAGATTTCTCACAACTGGGTAGGTTTAGTCCACCTATGTTTTATAAAATACCTGCTAGTTCAGTTAGATAGTTTTCTGGTTAAGTTACGCCAATTAGCATGTTTTATATGAGAATAACTTTTGCTTCTTTTCTGATACAATTTCTCAAATTTTGGTGAAAAAATCAGATATTTGTATCTGATTGTTTCATGAATGCAGCTATGAATTGACGTTTGTTTTCAAGAGGATATCTCATTTTCACAAGTCCTTGATATCTCTTCATATCGGCCCACATCATATTTATTTTTTTAGAAAACAGAAAATAGATATTTCGTTAACATTGATCTTAACATGTTCTTGTAGAGAATACCCAGCGGCTCTTGCAAGACTCGCTGTCATGGTCCGTGGTATTGGAGACCCCTTGGTAGCATCATATGCAAGATGTTATCTCAGCAGAGTAAGTATTAGAGTCGCCTACATGTAAGTCACGGAGATAGAATGATGAACACATTCTCACACATTTTAAGATGATTGAATTTGAGGACAATCATCATATCACCATTTTCATGTATTGGTCTTGCTCTGGAGTGCATGTATATTATATCAATTGTTTATATTTGTAGGTTGGTATCAAAGTGGCACCAAGCATCAACGAACACATCATGCCATCATTTGATGACTTCCTCACCACATACCCACAGGTACATTCCTTTAGATTAGAACAAATTGTATTTTATTTCAATAAGAGTAACAAAACATTTAAATAATTAAACAATCATTTATCAAAGAATGTATGCAGTTTCTGTGTATTGTAGGTAAATGGAGACAGTGTTCAGAACACGCTTGCTGCACAGTCCCTGGAGATGCCTAAATATCTTACTCTGTTCTCCCCTGCCCTGGATTGGCTCCTGCAGTGTGTTGCACACAGGGCTCCAGAGTCTGCCCTCTTGGATGTACTCAACAAGTCCAAGGAACAGTGTAATAGGTTAGTACATTACAAATTAAACTGACCATTCCCTCTCTCTATCCTTGTTGAATACCTGGTTAATACTTCAAAATGTTGTGAAATCAAATTCTGGGTGTAGTGAACACCTACCAATACATTAAAATGTTCAATATACACATGTTTTACTGTACAGAGAAATGCCACACACATGAATCTATTTTGTCAGTTAGAATATATGCTACAAAAGCATTTGCCTCTATTATTGGAATTGTGAATCTCTGACAATCTCTACTTCAAAAATATTGTGTTTATAACTGATGAATATATTTAATAAATTGTTTATGATATAAAAATATTAAACCCTATTTAATTCATTATTCGGCCCTTCATTGCCAGGTTGACATGCCATTTCACTGAGCATGTGTGTTTTCACTTCATTGCAGTGCTCTCCTTCTGAACTCCATCATGTCAGCATTCAGGCCTGCCTACATATCCAAGCGGGCACCCCAGTTCACTGAGATGATTAAGGAATGCGAAGACATGGGCTTCCCAAAGGTATGTGACATCTGAGTCTGTGTTTATCTTCTGTGTATGCATTTCTTGTTATTTAAAATAGATAATGTAACTTCTATTCATATTTCTATATGTTTGCTAGCACCTGTTGTATCGGAGTCTAGGGACGTGTTTGGTGATGGCTGACCCCCCAGAGGAGCACAGGCTTCAGATACTCAATGATGTCTGGAAGGTCGTCATGAAACTCTCCAACCCTAGTGACTACATGAGCTGCACTGAAGTCTGGATAGAGTTTGTCGTAAAGCATTTTTCAGTAAGGAAGAGTTGAAATATTTACATGTAATTTCATTAACACACATACACTGCACCTGTATATATAATGAAGGTGCTAATCGACTGAAGTACACTTTCCATAGACTTTGTATTGTAAATCTAATTATGGACATCCTGTATATCTTCTAATGAATGCATTCTTAAGAACATTCATTTATATTTTTCATTGTAGAAAAAAGAGTTTAACACTATCTTGGGTGATATCATCAAGCACTTGACTCCAGACAGAGCCTTTGAGGACCACTATCCACAGCTACAGTCTGTTGTATCTAAACTGCTTTCACATATGCATAACTTCTCAGTCCTCTTTGGTCTGGTAAGTACAGCTACAGTTACGATTACATTGTGTGAGTTACATGCTTTGTGTTTGAGTTACATGTATTATGTGTAAGTTACATGTAATTTGTGTGAGTTACATGTAATTTGTGTGAGTTATATGTAATGTGTGAGGGTTACATGTAATGTCTGTGAGTTGTATTTTATGTAAGTTTCATGGGTTGTGTTTGAATTACATGCAATTAATGTGCGTGGGCTATGTGAATATGAGTTACATATTTTGTGTGTGAGTTACATATGTATGGGAGTTACATATATTGTATGTGAGTTACATGTACATGTAATGTCTAAAGTCTCTTAAATGCATTGAAAATGATTGAGTTATATATATTGCCTGTGTTCCAGGACAAGTTCCTTCCACTGATAGACATGTTCCAGAGAGACTCTGTAAAGGTAGAAGTTTGCAAGAACATCATGGAGGCATTTGTCAAGTGAGTCACATTCTTAGGGATATGTAGTACATGTATTATGTATTTCAATTGGTGGAAAATATTTGGGAGAACCATTTACATTGATATAACCTCTCTGGTTGTAACTACAGATTATTTGTACTTTTAAGTGCAGGAAGTACATGTATATTAAAGTGAAAAATCCAGGTAGAATTGAGTTTAAAATTGTTTGTTTTTCAGATTCCAGTTACAGCCCACTAATGACCCAGTGATTCTGAATGCACTCATGTTTATCTGTAGAACCATGCATGACTCTGTCAAGTAAGTCTGCTATGTGATGCTTCAATGCACTCATGTTTATCTGTAGAACCATGCATGATTCTGTCAAGTAAGTCTGCTATGTGATGCTTCATACAATCTTCTACTCAAGTATAGCACATGTGTACTATTTTTTATAATATGTACTCTTGCCGGCCCTTAGGACAAAATCCTAGAGCCATTTAAGAATACCTTTAATGGTGCTTTTATTTTATTTTGCTTCGCATTTAATTAAATAAAGGATATCCAAACTCAATATTCAAATATATCTTAGTATGAAATGCTATATGTGCATGTATTTTATTCCAGTGCATTAACATTAGAAGATGAAGTGAGGCAGATTGGCCAACTGATCATTGGATTCATCAAGAACATATCCTTCAACCGTGACTTTGAGCAGCAGCTTAGCTTCTATGTAGAGGCTAGGGCAGCCTTCAGCAACATTGACATTGTCCTCATATACCTTGTGCAGAGTGTCAACAAACTGGCAATGCAGACCAGAACTGTAGTAAAGGGAAACCATAACAGGAAGACATCAGCTTTTGTCAGGGTAATGTGACATTCATATCAGAATTGTTAGGTGACCTACATTATATTGGGTTGAGTAAACATAATGTCTGAATTGAATAAATGACAGCACCAATATGCAAAAACTGTACTAGTAATCATATGCAAATAATATTCACTATGAACAGATCAAAATGTTTGACTTTTTCATATATTTTGTACTCTGTTGTTCATTTTGTAAAAAAACTCCTAAAAACTATTTACAAAAACCAAGATCTGAACATCTAGTCTTTATGTCCAAACACATGCATTTTGTGTATATAATTCTAGGCATGTGCTGCTTATTGTTTCATCACAATACCATCATTACATGGTGTCTTTGCAAGACTGAATCTGTATCTCCTATCTGGACAAACAGCCATCCTCAACCAGTGCCTCTCTCAAGGTAAAACTACTTGTTCACTCGATTAATTTATTGGATTGAATAATTTAATCTAAATATTTACACCAAATTGAGAATTGTAATGAATTAGTTTTATAGAGTTAAAGCCCTCCATTGGCTAGTTGGTCTGTCTGTTCATCCAGGCAATAACTCTAATGTCAGTTGAGCAATTCTGCTCATATTTCGAAATGGATAGGATAGGGCAAATGTTTTTTTTTATTTATTGTTCAAACACAAACTTTTCAAAAAGCTCACCACATAATCAAGAGAATAAATCATTTTGATTAGGAACTTGGAAAGTAATACATATTTTTGCAATTTCTAAAGTGAATACAAAAAATATAGTACTTTATTCAAAACATACATGCTCCTCCCATCTTACAGGTGATAGTTTCATGAAGGCTGCTATATCTCTAGTAGCAGAGGTGCCCAAGACATTGGAGTTAGATGGCAAAGTCAGATCCACTGAACCATTTCTTATTGAATTCCTCAACAACTTCCTAGCTACTCTGCTCATTGTACCAGTAAGTACATGTACATGCATTTTCCATCACAAGTGGTAACATATTTACCCTTTGTATTCGTTTGACTTCACTTCTTAAAAGAGAGCTTCGTCTTCACTCTTTCAAACTAAAATAAACCTGTGAACTCACCGCGCCAATCAGTGTTCGTCGGCCAAATTTGACCGACGTTCTATATATGGTCATTCCTTCTGACGTCATCGTTGAGCCCGGAATTGACCAATGACATGCGCATATTTAATTAGAACGCATTTGGCGTATGTTTCTTCAAGCTCGCTGATTGGTATTTATTACCCAAACTGTCACCGGTACCCGTCGTGGGGGCGTGGCTACTAAACTGTAATATGGTATCTACTAGGCAGAGTGTAGTTTAACTAGACTCTGCACGCAGGGTATAACATATTGTAATCATCTCCAACTTTTTTTTGTGGCAAGACTGAAAAAAGGAGGCCATTGAAATACAATGTAAGCAATATCTCCTAAAATAGACAAAAAAGGACAAAATGGTTCAAAAAACTAAAGAGGTTATTCAAAATCTTTTTTGTCTCCCTTTTTCCAATCACCCTGCATATGATGTAGTTCATGGAACAGAAAGTCTATGTTTATGTGCCACATCTGTTTACAGGATAGCCCAGATCAAGGTGTTTTATACCTCTTAAGGGGTCTACTGAATGTCATACAGGATTACACCTGGGATACCAGCTCTAGTGCTAAGGCTGTTGTATACACCAATGTACTGAATCTACTAGCTGCCTATAGTCAAGAGTCCTACATATATCAACCTAACAAAGGTAAGAAAACACAAAAATGGGAGGGCTCACAATTCAACCCTCAACTTTCTTTTGTGTTCAAATGTACCAGTTAGTACATGATATGTAGATCAGGCCTAATATGTGGTCATTTTTCTCAAAACTTTTGTTAATTCTCCAGTTTTATTCTTCAAAAATCATAATTTAGAATCTTAATCTTGAAAACTTTGTATTGCTTTTGTGTTGTCAAAGGGTTTGCTTGTCATTTATGAGTTGGTGCATTGGCAGTTCAGTGTGTGGTACTTCCAAGTTGCTCTAAAGCAGAATACATACCACTTACTTTTTATTTCATGATTTTCATTTTTAGTTGATTGCAATGATGCCATGTATGGAAGTGACCCCAAGTTCCTGAATGAGGTGAACAAAACAGCAGCTGTAGTGCTTGATGTAATACTCACACATCTCAAGTCAATGGAACACATTGAGGTGATCTTCTTATTTACATTGCTTGTTTTATAAAATATTTTAAATGATTGGATATTTACTTCTCGTGAAATATTCTGGATGGAGTAAGTGTTATTTTACAGCCCTTTTGGTAGAACAAAGTACTATTCATATATTAATTTGATTATTTGATTCACGACATTGATTAAAGAGATGCTCAGGAGATTAGTAAGTCAATTGACATTAATTATATAAAAATATCTGTTAAATTCAGTGTACGCATGAACAAACAAAATTCAATTCTTCAGCATGATGCCAAGTATTTTATCAGTGTATAAAAATCGACTCCCGCCATGTCACTGGTATTTAAGATTTTGACATATTTCTCACATAATTATAATTTTCAAACATTTGCAACCAGTAAAAGGTTGTATATTAGGTTGCAACTTGCAAGTGAATGATGTGATCTTTAAAATGTCATTCACAGAAGAACTAAAGAAATTGCTGTGTGAAAGCTACCTGAGCATCTCTTTATGTATATATGGGTAACGACATATGCCCCTCTTAAATTCTGTATTTTCTCATTTGATTTTAGACAGCCAGGGTTAATCAGGTAAAGTGTAAAGCATGATTTTATGTGTAACAGATTTGATACTTTTAATTATCTGGTGATTTAGGTACTATTTGTTTTGTTCAGTTTTCCTTTTCCTTTTTATAAATGTTTGTTCATGTAATGTCCAATTGTTTTGTTGCTGAACTGCTTCTGTAACAAGATTATTTGTTTAAGTTCTTATCTGTTTTCTTACATAATTCTGTTGTAACTCTCATAACAAGCTTCTTTAATTTATCACAAAGGAATATATTGTGCTCTTACTTTGATATTGGTGGTAGATCTGTATTTAATGGCTGCTTCACAAAATATATACATGCAACATACATGTAAGTTAAATGATATACATATCTAAAATAAGTTTTTTCACTGATAACATACAGTATTTGAATCTGTAATCACTCTGGTAAATGGAATAATTTATATTATACCATGTGTATAATTCATCCTAATGTTTTACAGGTGCATAGAAAACAAGCCTCTGTGAGTTTAGAAGTAATCGAACATATTGTTTGCCATTGTGATGTTTCTAAGGAGCCTATGTTTGAGCTTGCTGTCAATCTATGGGGTCTATCTCAGAGACATGGGCAAGCAGACACCAAGCATATGGTAAATGTTTTAGTATCAAAAACGTTATTAAATAGTTGGACACAATTTACACTTTTATTTTCCATAAAAATATGATAAGAGATAGCAAACAGCAAACAGCAAATCTGAAATATTAAAAAAATACTCCTGTTACTTCTGCCATTGAAGAATGTAGTTACTGTAATAAAATATACCCATTTATATTTATAGTAAGAAATTGATTTTGGCTACCATTCCACTCCCTATATAATAAATACATGTATGATTCCAGGTGCGGATAATGAACCACGTTAAATACAAGAGTACTATTGGACACAATTCCAGTGACATTTACTCTCAACTTGTGAACAAATTGCATTTACAGTCCAGAACATAGGGAATAGTTATTGAAAAAATTCTACTTCTATGTACATAATAAAGTATATATAAAATTTCAAACATTTAATATCGGTACATCATATTGAAATTTGAATATTTTAATGGAACAATATCCATATAATATATGGATTTGTAAACCTCTGTAGCCAAAGTTTTTGGGCAACAACCATTCTTGCAATGATTAAAACAAATAGTATTGACAAATTATGAAACTTGTCAGGATGATTACTGCATATATGGTGGGCACCCTTGGGTCGAAACACATATAATGTTGGACAACAAATGTGAAAATTGAAATCATACTTGTACAAGGCTTTCAAAGTCACTCATAGATATGCTAAACATTTTATTTGAGCTTATCAGTACCAAAGCTGATATAATGCTTGCATATGTGGCAGAATATGTCATACTAATATGTATGCATTTTACCTGAGTATTGTCAAGCAAAAACATTTATGTAGAAAAACTTCAAAAAAGTGATCACCAACACAGCCAAAAAACGAGCGCTGAAAAAAAACAATGTATTTTGTTCAGACTTTTCACGTTCCATTTATGTCACGCATTTTCCCCAAAATACCACCAAGGTGTCCAAATTGTGGGCCAAGGTGTTCAGATTTGGACCAAGGTATCCACAATTTGAAGAAAGGTGTTCAACATTGGTAACTCACTCATGTTAACATGTTTGATGAAATATTTAGCATTTAAGGCTACAGCTAAAGATTTTCTCCAGAGGTATTAAAAGTGCAATAATCACCAGTTTTACATGATAATTGAATTAGAAATATTAGTTATCTTTTACTGCAGTGACTTGTTCATTTCATTCAAAAGATAATGATATGAATGTATGTTAGAATTCCCTTGCCACTTCCAGTGAATGTGTGAAGGCCAGGTTTCCTAGGCAAAATGCACAAAGTCAGAGTTATGATAAAAAAAACTTGTGTATACATTAACTATGTATATACCACAATTTACAATTTACAATTCACAATTATGTCTGATTATTGAGAAGTGAAATATATATAAACTTAACAACTGAATAGTTATTCTTTAGTTATTTATATTGATGACTGCCTGCAATGCAATGTTGATGACTTGGTAAAATGGGACCATACAGGAACCATACAGTTGGCCCACATGCTTAAAAAATATAATTTCTCCAAAATGAAGCAAAATTAGGACCCAGGACCTGTAGTTTATATTACTGGTAGTTGTCATTTGACTGAGGGACACACAGACACATTTGAAAATGGACACTTTAAAAAATGACTAATTTCTCAGCTATTGGGAGTTACTTTAATCTTGTATCAGATCCTGATGTGTTTGCAATTCCATTATTTCTGATTTGAATGCATTTAAGTTTTGTATGCAGGTTTACAGTATATTGATACCCAGAGATAAAAAAAAACTAACACCCACAATCAGCAATCTGAAATCATGGTACCGTTACTTTATGGTACATAAAGAGTATGGTACCATTCAAGTATGGTGCCGTTGTGTTCTATGGTACCATATTTCACGGTATCATACAGTAGCGTAGCCAGAGATTGGCTAGTTGAAAGCCCATTGCATTGAAAGCCCATGGTTAAATGAAGTACATGTAATGCTTTGTGGATCAAGTATGTTAGAGCTATTCTCTTATAAGTTCTTGCAGGACAATTTAGACTTCCTTGAAATAAACTATTATTCTTATTTTTCTCAATGATAATTTCACTATAAATCAGTATGATTTTGGTCAATGAACACAAATGAGAAACTAAACTAGTAATTATAAGCATGGGCTTTCAATCTAATTGAAAGCCCATGTTATAAGCAAAGACCAGAATCCACTATGATCAATGATTCTTTATCCTAAATGAAAAAAGGACATACTATATTTATGGTTGCGCGGTATTTGTGATACAAGTGAATATGGCATACTCACCTGCGGTATCTGACATATTCCGCAAGTGAGTATGGCATATTCCGCATTGAAATATGATATAGTGAATACCTCATATTCACCTGCGTAATATGACATATTCACTCGTAGAATATGACATACACGTAGCGGAATATGGCATTTACCGCATGGTGAACGTCATACTAAATTCCCTTGATTTGATTGGTTTAGAGAATCAACAATAAATGTAAAACTATAATGGATTACCATTGTTTTTTTCGCTTCGAGCACTAAACTATGAATACTGGAGTGATTGGGTAAATTTATTACGTGTGATCGGTAAATGATACTTCTGAAAGTATCAGTAATGTATTAACCGCAATCAAATACTCATGGTTTTTTCTGGTTTTTATCTGGTCTTTGTAAACTGTTGATTTGGTTGTAAAAATCACTCATAAGCTTCACGAACGTAGGTTCGTATATTTATGGGTAACAATGTTTCCCTTGAAGTGTGCTTTTGCGTGTAACACATATATAAAACAATATCAAACAATACAGATAGCACCGGTGTATGTTATTCAATTGTATTAGTTCATATATTCAATGCACTGACCTGTTGATTCAGAAATCATTATAATAATTTATAGTCTTTAACCCATTCATCGAATCGATGTAATTGACAATTGAGTACTTCCGTATCGCGTTCTCATTGGTTAATGTATATGCCATATACCGCAGGTGAATCTGTCATACAACGCAAGTGAATATGCCATATTCATATACACAGATCTGGAGCCAGATCCAGCCCCTATTGGTAGTAGGCTCATAGGATAAATGAGTATATTTATTGAGCCTAGACACCACAGAAGAGAATAGGTAATCTGGCAGAGGTGTGTGGCGGAATATGACATATATTTGTATCGTGTTTACAGCGTAATACTCTACGCCTCATATTTTGTGATCGAGGACAGGTAATCATTATGATGACGTCATAGTTGCCATTCGGCCATCTTACATTTCGCCATGGCGTACGTCTTTCGATTCGGATTAAAAAAGGTAAAATATCTATGTAATATTGATAAAACATTTGATCAAAGACTAGTTAATCAAACATCAAATTCTGTCTCTTTTAAATTATGTGCTCGTCATATTTTTTGCACGTTAACTTTTGTCAAAATCGGATCGATCAATTTTTACTGATTTTTTATTTTTTGATTTCTCGAGTCTCACGCCAGTCTCAGTCTTTCTCTTTGGTAGAACTCTCCTTACTTTTTGTACCATTGAGATGCATGTCATATTAGAATTTCTCAAATCGCAGCCCATCGATCTTCAATGAATTTCAGAGAAATATAGCAAAACATCTCGCCTTCATGTCAAAAAAATTTCAACAAAAATATCCCACGAAAATCAAAAGTTCTGGGGCCATGAATTTGCACAATCCCCAATCCAATCCGGATAAATTTTATCTTTTGTGATAAATCATGGGCTCTCAATCATCTAGTTGAAAGCCCATGGATAAATCTTGGATTACTACTACTTTTTGCAAGGCCTGACTTAGTCGCTAACATGCTAAATATAAGAGTTAGCTGACGTTTGGGAGTCTGACTTACCTTCTACAGGTTAGAACCCGAATCTTAATGAAACCATATCACCTTTGTTCTGTCAACCATGGAGCATTTGCCACAACATCCAAGAGGTAAATCATGGACCGAGAAAATGAATGATTTCCTTGTAAGTTCCGGAAGTTTCAATACGAAAAATTACCGAACATATATGAAAACCGAATATTTGTTCGTTGTTTTCACGATTTACATGTTCGTATGTTCTTCAATGTTTTGGTCTAAATTATAAAGCATCACCAACAGGTCTTACTCTATTAATCGACTAATACAGCAGACGGCTCATATTTCTACGTAGCATTTCGTTCAGACAAATAGTGGGACTGTAGATCACGCAGTTTCGTTCGTTGCGTACTTCACTCGAAATTGGTAATTTTATATTGGCTACTTCACTTAGCTTGGTGGATGTAGAACATTGCTTAATATTCTTTTAATTTTCACACCAGACATGCTTGGTTGACACGTCAACAAAGTAAAGTTCAAGGGTCAATGCGTTATTTCGTGATAACTACAACGCCTTACCGAAAGTCAACATTGATGAAAAATGAAAAAGTCGGAAAAGCATTTACACTAATTTCTATCAAATGCTATGTTTATGCATCATCATCGACGCAACAAAGGTGATATGGTTTCATTAAGAATCGGGTTCTAACCTTTAGAAGGTAAGTCAGACTCCCAAACGTCAGCTAACTCTTATATTTAGCATGTTAGCGACGAAGTCAGGCCTTGCAAAAAGTAGTAATCAGATAAATATTTGGTGAATTTGTACGATCCGAGGATTATGAGGGGGAATCCCCAAGATTTATCCAATTTGCATTGGAATTCAGATAAAATTTATCCATAATGATAAAGTAATCCACCTCAAGAGGTGGATTGAGATTTATCAGGATCGTATGAATTCACAGATTTTTTGATTAATTCTTGGATAATCCCACAATGCATCATACCATGACGAAATTTATCCGGATTGCGGATCGTACGAATCCACCGCCCCTGCTCTCTTACATAATTGGAGTACCAAAGCGTCATCATATTTATGTACAATGACCAATGCACCACTGTCAAGGTCATCCATCCGCAGAAAATAATCCCAAATATTTTACCATTCACTGTTATGATCACACGTTTCCCAGTTATTCTGGGGATTATATGCCTGCAAATTAGAGTATTCTATCCAAAGATGGTGCTGTAGAAGTCCCCAAACAGGTTTTTATAGAACTGCTTTCCTCATACCATGAAATAATACTTTAATTTTGGCGTCAGTATTACTAGGCCTATCATCCAATGTTGAGTTCTAAGGATCTCATTAAATTGTAGTGCATAATAACAAATGAAGTGATTTACAATGAATTGTTTCACCCCTTCAATCCTGACTTGACTACAGTCGAATCACTTTTTGTTGGTCAATCAATCCCTGGGCTTAACGCCAATGGAGGAATGGATCTAGCAGGGGTCTTATCCAATTTAGTTCAAGAAATCATGAGTCATTCAAACCTAAAAAATGAACAATCGAACGATTCAATCAAACCATTTTTGATTTCTTGATTTTCAGGTTTTATCATGGGCTTATCATGGGGTTTTGTAGGAAATTTCAGTCACAAAAATAAAGAGTATCAACTTATACTTCCTCAGAGAATAATGAAATATGCTCAGTTGATTACTTATTTTAGCAACAAACAATGTGAAATGACCTTTTGATTCAAACTTCAGGCTGTGCCAAATAAAGTAGGCAGAAAGTCTTTTTATCCTCTGATTCCATAAACGGACCATGTTCCTTCAATCAAAGTGCAGCCCTCATTTAGAAAGAATGAAGGTGAATATCACATAGGGAGGACCTCTCTAGAACAAAGACCAACTCTGCTCAACTCTGTTCCAAGCATTTGGATTGAACCTGTATGCTTATTGAATCTGCATGTTTTTCAGAGTGTGGAGGGAGCTTCACTAAAAGTTCTTCAAAATGCCCGCCTTATACACAGCTCGCCACTATCATGGGCTCTACAGAAGGTAATTTATAAATTTATTCCAGAGCAAACATCCAATTTTGTTTTCATTGATTCTTTTCATTGATTCAAACATCCAATTTTGTTTTCATTGATTCAAACATCATTCGCTAACTTTGTCTACAACTTAAAATCATCATTCTTTTGCAGTCACTTTTGAATTTTGGGTGTTTAATCTTCAAATATTTGTTTTCTTTCCTTGCTAGGTTGCTATGAGCAAGTTTGAAACAGACAGGAATCTACCTTATGAGAAACTACAAGACAATCTGAATATTGTTAAGAAAAGGTAGGACGCATTTTCAATTTCAAAAAAAAGAAAATGTTTTTCATTTAAGGGCATGCTCTGCTAAGACATGGCACGATGCCTTAGTTATTTATTCATTTATTGTGAAATAATTGTGCAATAAGTAACCTTGGACAAGTGTATTGTTAAAATGTGTAAATTTTTGATGAATCTCTTGAAATCTTTTAGCAAAAATGTGTTTTTGTCAGTTCTATGATCAATTTTGGTGCGTGAGTATGTGTAGTAGATTTCAAAAGCAAAATAAACATTGATTTCAAAATACATTATTGCTCAATGCAATTTTTGATAACATATTCACTAAGGTACATGGGCTAAAAATAGTCCAGGTTAAAGATAAGATGTGAAAGTATTGCTTCAACTTGAATCTCATTGGTTGATGTTATCATTTACTGTAGTGTCCTTGAGAATACAAATGAACTAGTATCCATATCAGAATTCTTTATGTAATGCACTACTATGTGTGCTTTCTTATTGAGAAATACTTGTATATAATACACATGTGCAGTTTCACATGACACTTCGGGCATTCAGATATGTTTAATCTGTATTCCATCAGTGAAGTTTTATATTCTAGAGCATAGTGTATTCCATGAACTAAATGTAGGCCAAATTTGACTTTAATTGGAAAACATTTTGTGAAGAAAATATGAAATATGTATCAAATTTTTGACCTATATGGAAACTAGAATCCTTACATAGTTGTTCACTCTATAATGTATTTTAAATATCAAACATGTGCAGGTCAATATTTATCATTGTTTGTCATTCTCAAATAAACCTAAATAGCATCCCCTTATTATCCCAATAGTTCGGTAGGGATATAGTGAAGCCTAGAGCAGGAATTTGCCATTACTTGAGATATCTTTATGGTTACATGATACTACAATGATCTCAATTGTTTATTGAAGGGAAGAGTAGATGGTAAATATTACATTGTGACTGTATATAGTGTTCGTTGGGATTCGCTACTCCGTGGAGTTGCTGATTTCTAGTTATTCTTAATACAACATAAACTTTATATAGAGCAATTACATTGTCAATTGACATTATCTCACTGTTATGTGTGTTATGTAGGCTAGGCAGACCCCTTACATTATCTGAGAAGATCCTGTACAGCCATATAGATGACCCTCAAAACCAAGACATCGTACGTGGTGAGAGCTACTTGCGTCTACGACCAGACAGAGTTGCCATGCAGGATGCCACTGCACAGGTGAGCCTTGGTCATACTAGCAAATAAATGTTGCTGTTATATAGAATAATGGAAATGTAACTATGCAAATCACACAAGGGAATAATTCTCTTATTGGGAACAGTATAGGGAATTTATAGCACTGTGAGTCCACAATACAGTCAGTGTATTCTAGCTCATTTAGATTTATTCATTGTACTACATTGGAATGTTGTTCATAATACCATAGTGGGTTTGTTTGTAGATGGCCATGCTACAGTTCATATCCAGTGGTCTCCCCAAGGTGGCTGTACCAAGTACCATACACTGTGATCATTTAATTGAGGCTCAGGTTGGAGGTGATAAAGATTTAGCCAGAGCAAAGGTAAGTTGATTGTAAATATATGACACATTTAGTAAAATAACAAATATAGTGATAGAGTGTTCACATTAACACAGTTTTTGTCATTTTTACTGAAATTTCAGAAGGTTGGATGGAAAAATCAAAAAAAACTTACGTTCATAGGACGCAAAAATTATAGACTGCGTCAAGGTAACTTTACTGCAGCATAGTAGCATGATTTTCATCAAGGTTTCAAACTCAAAGTTTTTTCCTTCTCGATCCAAGATATTCATATTTATTTTGTATTGGCTAGGACATCAACAAAGAAGTGTACAACTTCCTTGCCTCAGCTGGTGCCAAATATGGTGTTGGCTTCTGGAAACCTGGCAGTGGAATCATCCATCAGGTACATTTCTATAAAGTCTTCTTGTTAAATGTCCAGAGGCTACTTTCATTTAAGTGATAAAATCCCAAAATTCCATTGTTTTCATTTTGGACATGTTTTGAGAAATATATATCTGTGATATTGACCAATTAAACAACTTGAGTGCATGAGTTATTTCTTATTTGGAATGAAATGAATACTCTCTACATGTAAATGCTTCTTATATTGTTATTTAGAATATTTCTTTCCCACTTGAATCTTTTCTAAATTGTGAAATGTAAATTACATTTTGCTACCCTTTGCATTCGTTTGACTTCACTTCTTAAAAGAGAGCTTCGTCTTCACTCTTTCAAACTAAAATAAACCTGTGAACTCACCGCGCCAATCAGTGTTGAGCCCGGAATTGACCAATGACATGCGCATATTTAATTAGAATGCATTTGGCGTATGTTTCTTCAAGCTCACTGATTGGTGGAAGAAAGGTCAGCGCGTAGGTCAAAAGTGATTTATTACCCAAACTGTCACCGGTACCCATCGTGGGGGGGGGCTACTAAACTGTAATATGGTCTCTACTAGGCAGAGTGTAGTTTAACTATACTCTGCACGCAGGGTAACATTTTGCTGTTTTTAGAATGAAAGCTAACATTGAAACCATTAGCCTTTCACAAAATACCTGTCTATTATAGATTGTCCTGGAGAACTATGCTTTCCCAGGCCTTTTGATGATTGGTACAGACAGCCACACCCCCAATGGAGGGGGTCTGGGGGGTCTCTGTATTGGTGTGGGTGGTGCTGATGCTGTAGATGTCATGGCTGATATACCCTGGGAACTGAAATGCCCAAAGGTAGATCAAATCTCTCTGAGATAATTCAGTTTGAATGTATTTATCTATTAAAAGCTATACACAGTTAGTTAGGGTAACCAATGTAGAACTACATGTTTATGTGTTGATTCTAGGTGATTGGAGTGAAGTTGACAGGAGAGTTGAGTGGGTGGACCTCCCCAAAGGATGTTATCCTCAAGGTGGCAGGTATCCTCACAGTTAAAGGAGGCACAGGAGCCATTGTGGAATACTTTGGCCCAGGCTTGGACTCCATATCATGCACAGGTAAGCCACTTAAAGTATTTTCAAATGTTTTCCACTTACAGAGGTGTTACACTTGATCAGCTTTATTGTATGTGCATATTCTTGTTTCAAGTTATTTGTTTGTGCACTTTAAACTCAAAATTCTATTTCCAATACAAATTGAGAATACATCAAAAGATTTTGAACCTATATTATTTTATACTGTTCAGTTTCATTGTCAGTGTTTCGTAAATAAGTCCCATTATTCTATCATATCAAATTAATGTATGTTTACTGTTAAGGTATGGGTACAATATGCAACATGGGTGCTGAAATAGGTGCCACAACATCTGTGTTCCCCTTCAACCATCGTATGAAGGCATATCTTGATGCCACCAACAGATCAGGTATGTATGTTACACACTCATCTACCAAACACTCTGAAAAATGATTGTATATACTATAAATATACATTTACATCAAAATAACTTTAAAAAGTGACAAGGGTTAATCATAACTATTGTTTTCTTATCAAGGGAGTGAGTCATGCTTAAAGCATTGTTGTATTCACTTTGAGAGGACTTACCATATGCATGAGCCTTCTGTCAAATCCTTTTCATTTATAACAATTTAAACTGTTAGATGCATGTAATATTAACCTCTTGACTACCCAGAATGATGAGATTTCTCGTCACCTCAGAAATGAATTTGAAACCCAGTGTGACGAGATAATCCGTCACATAATTTTTCACTAAAATTGCTCTTATTTGAACAATTTTTATCCAATTTACACAAAAATTGTTTTAAAATGTCTAGAAATGATCTCTGCCATCTAATTTTACTAAATTGAACATCGTCCGTTATATATGTATGTAGTAAAATGTCAAAAGCTGTCAAAAATGAAAAATAGTCTGGTTTCAACCTATTTTAGAACTTGGGATTCAAGAGGTTAACATTGACATAAAACATTTTGAGTTAAATTAAATATGTATTGACTGCAGGTATTGGTGAGGCTGCTGATGAGGTGAGGCAAGACCTCCTGGCTGCAGATGAAGGATGTCAGTATGATCAGCTTATTGAGATTAATCTAAGTGAGGTAAGCATAATATAGTGGGCACATCTATTATTCTGTAGCCAGAGACTAATTCATGATTGGAATTAGGGGTCTCGCAATTGCTTGGATTTGTTGGAGCAATAAGGAACGATACCAGCGTATCGATACTCAACTTGAATATCGGTTAAAATTCCCCAAAACAGCAAAATCATGTTAGAAAGCAGTTTGAATTAGATTGTATCTTCCCGTTTTTTCCATTTTGTACCTCCAATATCCAATCTCAGTTAGTGAAAATAAACTTAGAAAAAGATTGTGAAATAAATATAAACCATGGATGGACACTGGAAACTAGTGGCCATTAGTTTTAGGACATTTATACTTTCATCCTGATTCACGAGTACATTTGGCATACTAATGCCTTATTTACCCATTAACATTTTTTACGCTCTTACATTGCTCGTATCGTTTGTATTGTATCGTGAGGTAAATATCATTGCTCGCATCGAAATTAAATATAACGTATCGTTGGACCCCCAATTGGAATGCCAAAGTTTGGGGAATTATGTTCTCATTATTTGTTTGTTGTTTAATAATAGTTTCAATTTCATGATTTAAGAATAATGCTTGAAAAACGTATGCATTTGTGCAACAATGCTGTATTATAATTGATAGAACAATTCAAAATGTTCCAGTTGGAACCCCATGTCAATGGTCCATTCACCCCTGACTTGGCACATCCCATACAGAAGCTTGGAGACAGAGCTAAGAAGAATGACTGGCCTTTGGACATCAAAGTTGGTACGGAGCAACATCTTGATCTCATGAAACAAAAACATTTCCAGAAATACAAGTATTTTGAAAATTGTTACCCCACATGGTATCTATGCTAGGAAAAAGATATGGTCTTCTTGAATTCCTTATCAAGAAATACATTGAAATTTGCAATTTCAAAATGATATGACTATATTATTTACTGGGGTCGTTCTGTCAATCTTTTTAGTACATACAAAGGTTTGAATTCTTTCATGCTAACCCAATTGATGTTAATGTGTAGGTCTGATTGGAAGTTGTACCAACAGCAGCTATGAAGATATGAGCAGATCAGCAGCTATAGCCAAGCAGTGTTTGGATAAAGGTATCAAGGCCAAGGCTGCATTCACAATCACACCTGGCTCAGAACAGATCAGAGCTACCATTGAAAGAGATGGACAAGTATGTCTGGTTAAATTGTAACAAAACCTGTAGTTGTTGATATGCAGATGGCTTGTTTCTCTAGACAGTGTATTCTGTTTGGACATTAAGAACTCATTATCCCACCGAACGAAGTTCGAGAGGGATATAGGAAAGCCGTCCGTCCGTCTGTTTGTCCGGGTGATACCTCAAATACCGTTTCACGGATTTGATTCAAATTTTATAGGCTTATGCCTTATGGGTGTAGGACCTCTGCTCGAGAAGGAATTTTCAATATGGCCACTGAATTCAAAATGGCCGCGATTTTTCATAAAAAATGTAATCTTTAATAACTCAAATACTAGTTTGCGGATTTGGTTCAAATTTTATATGCTGATGCCTAGGGACAACGGAGTGTTGCACAAAAAGAGATTTTCAAGATGGCCTCTTAATTTCAAAATGGCGGCCATTTTTCATAAAAATATGTAATCTTTGATAACTCAAATACCAGTGAATGGATTTGGTTCAAATTTTATATGATGATGCTTAGGGACACAGTAGCTATGTTCAACAAAAAATTTTCAAGATGGCCGCTTAATTTCAAAATGGCGGCAACTTTTCGTAGAAAACGTAATCTTTGATAACTCAAATACCAGTGAACGGATTTGGTTGAAATTTTATATGATTATGCCTAGGGACACAATAGGTCTGTTCAAGAAATAATTTTCAAGATGGCGGCTGAATTTCAAGATGGCGCCCAATTTTCGTAAAAAACGTAATCTTTGATAACTCATACACCAGTGAACGGATTTGGTTCAAATTTTATAGGCTTATGCCTTATGAGTGTAGGACCTCTGCTCAAGAAGGAATTTTCAATATGGTCGCTCAATTCAAAATGGCCGCCATTTTTCGTAAAAAATGTAATCGTTGATTATTCAAATACAAGTTGACGGATTTGGTTCAAATTTTATATGCTGATGCCTAGGGACAAAGGAGTTTTGCACAAAAAGAAATTTTCAAGATGGCCGTTTAATTTTAATATGGCGGCCATTTTTCGTAAAAATATGTAATCTTTGATAACTCAAATACCAGTGAACGGATTTGGTTCAATTTTTATATGATGATGCTTAGGGACACAGTAGCTATGTTCAACAAAAATTTTTCAAGATGGCCGCTTAATTTCAAAATGGCGGCAATTGTTCGTAAAAAACGTGATCTTTGATAACTCTAATACCAGTGAACAGATTTGGTTGAAATTTTATATGATTATGCCTAGGGACACAGTAGCTCTGTTCAAGAAATAATTATCAAGATGGCGGCTGAATTTTCGTAAAAAACGTAATCTTTGATAACTCATATACCAGTGAACAGATTTGGTTCAAATTTTATATGATGATGCCTAGTTCACAATGGTATAAACTAACTTTGTGCCAAATTTCATGCTTCTATCACAAAGTGCACAAACATTTCAACATTTACACTAGCTATAATAAGCATAATATGTTTTGTTCGGTGGGATTTGCTACTCCGTGGAGTTGCTGTTTTTCTAGTTTTGGAAAATAATTGATTCAGTCTAGCAAACATCTGAAAATAATGATAACTTAGGTCTTTAGCCTAAAGGGAACACAAGATGAGTCATTTAGTTCAGCTATCTCTGTGATTTGTCAAAACAGATGTTTTATTGCCACTTTGATAAACTAAAATTTAGATTAATATTTGCTGAGATACACTGATTTTGCTATATGTATTTACAATAATGCTCAATGTGTTCTTCATTGCAGGCAGCTGTGCTTGGAGAGGCAGGTGGTATGGTGTTGGCCAATGCATGTGGACCTTGTATAGGACAGTGGGACAGACGGGATGTCAAGAAGGGTGAAAAGAACACCATTGTTACATCATACAACAGGAACTTCACTGGTCGTAATGATGCTAATCCTGCCACTCATGCATTTGTGACATCACCAGAGTTAGTCACTGCTATGGTGTTCTCAGGGCGTCTTGATTTCAACCCACTTACAGATGAACTTACTGCCCCTGATGGTATGTTAATCATATTAATCATTATTATTATACAGCTATGTACCATTTTGTCGTGGTAAAACAGCTGACTGCATGTTTCAATTTATCAATAATAGATTATACTTTGTACCATATAGCGCTAATAGAGGGATTTACGTAATGAACATCATATTTATTTAGGTTCCAAGTTTATGCTAGACACACCATATGGTGATGAGCTTCCCTCCAGTGGCTTTGACCCAGGTCAGGACACATACCAGGAACCACCAGCAGAGGGCTCTAGTCTCCAAGTGGATGTATCGCCTGAAAGTAAACGTCTCCAATTACTGACACCATTTGACAAATGGTCTGGCAAAGATCTGGAAGATATGGCTGTTCTAATCAAGGTATTTACTCATTGATCACTTCATTAGCTTACAGTTATTAATGTGTTATGTGTTCTACATGAGGGGAATGGGATATGGGTAGTGACTGACAGACAGGTAGTGTAAACTCAACACTAGTAGATCCTGATCTATGTTACATAATGATAAATATGTCACACCTTTGATAAGAGCTCTAACATGTCTTTGTGTTGTTGTTTTGATGTACTGAAATGACTATAAAATATCCAAACATGATATAGTATTTCTTTGCTGTGTTTGCAGGTTAAGGGAAAATGTACAACAGATCACATCAGTGCTGCTGGTCAGTGGTTGAAATACAGAGGACATCTTGACAATATATCAAACAATTTACTCATAGGGTTAGTAGTAGGTCTTTTGTGGTTGAAATATGGAGGACTTTTAGACAATATTTCCAACTATTTACTTATGTGGTTGGTAACACAGGTCTTACATAATATAAAAGATCAAAAGAGATAAATCATTTTGAAAAATGATGTCCATGTTTGTAATGCACATTTTAAGCACATTTGCTATCTTCTACAGGCAAATACACTTCATAAGTTTTTGTTGGAGATGAGAAAAGTGATATTTGAATAAATGAAAATGTGACTTATTTTGTCTATTGTATGTTTCAGTGCTGTAAACTCAGAGAATGGTGAGATTAATAAGGTGAAGAATAATCTGACTGGAGAGTATGGTGGTGTTCCAGATGTGGCCAGACATTATAAGGTACAATTTAACTACTCTTACACTAGATAGACATATACATTTCATATTGTAAGGTACAGTTTGACTACTCTTAGACTATACAAATACAGGGTGTCAAATAAGTCTCGTCCCCCCTCTACAGCCAAAACCAAGATGTTTGGTACCAAGTGTGATATATCATTGGAAAGGTCTTCCAGAGTTACGTTGATTGGCATATATCTGACACATGTCAATCAATCTCAGAAACTTTTACATTGTATCAATTGAGGTGACCATATGCCTAGAAACATGGCAATTTGGCATGATTTTAAGAATCGTGTATAAGAAATGTCACGGGACCAAAATATGACTAAATATGTTTATGGCAATGAATATAACCTATTTCTGGATAGGATTAGATGTGTAGAAAATAGAGGTGCAAGGTAACAAGTGGAATGTGAAAAAGATTAACTTTTTGATGTATTTCTGAGGTCATATCCTTGTCATTTTGACGCAAAAAAAAGCTTCTTAAAGGAGGGCACGTTAATTTTAAAAGACCGTCATAAAAATACAGGTAAATTTCATCCAAAATACCTGGGAGTTGGTGAGTTAACATAACTTTGGATGATCTTTCCAATGGTATATTACACTAGGTACCTTCTGTCAAGGTTTTAGCTGTAGCAGGGGGATGGGACTTATATGACACCCTGTACATTTCATATGGACATAAGATAATAATCTTGTTTTTACCTGCAATAAAGATGCATCCTTTTGATAGAGTTTTTTTTTTTTAGATTTCCTTTCAACTCTAGGATTGTTACACATATTTTCTGTGCTCACATGTGAGATTTTTACTTGTGGATTCATCTTACCTTATCTACTATTGTTGAATTCAACTGCCGGCTGACAACTTGACCACCATTCCATGACTTGCTCATTTATATATGAATATGAGTAGTAACAGGTACTATTCATATTTAAATGATACCAATCAAATCACCATCAAGTCATCAGCTGATAGTTGAATTTGTGAATGCTAGCTTAGTTCCTCAAATGAACATTCTAAATAACATGTACAGTATGTAATATTAGAGATTGAGCCAGCTGTTCTATTTGTACAGGCTAATGGACTTCCGTGGGTTGTCGTGGGGGATGAGAACTATGGGGAGGGCAGCAGTAGGGAGCATGCTGCTCTAGAACCAAGACATTTAGGAGGCAGAGCTATCATTGTAAAGAGCTTTGCAAGAATACATGGTAAGTATTCACTATATCTGAACAGCACTCAAGTGTATTATACTTGTGATTTTTAAAGTCTTGGGTTTGTCAGTTCATCGTGATTTCAAATTTGATATAAGCGATAGCAAATATGTTAACAGTACTTAATCATTATATGTTAGTTGAATGGAAAACACTCGTCAAGATATGCACATTAAAGTTTGTATTAAATGACTAACATCTTAATTTTCCTTTCTATTCTATTCATAACTCAAATAAATGAATTTATGATTAAAAACAATAGATTGGAAGATGTATGATTCTGAATACCATTGATTTGTTTTCAGAAACTAACCTCAAAAAGCAAGGTATGCTGCCCCTTACATTTGCTGACCCTTCAGACTATGATAGAGTCCAACCCACTGACAAAATATCTCTAGTAGGACTAGCAGACATTGCCCCAGGAAAGGTAAGCTCTCTCATTCTTGGTATTGAAGTTGCTAGACCTTTGTAGTAATAATTCTTACTTCACTCATTTTACTGCACTGTTATAGTCATTGGAAGGGTGAACTAACGGAACTATAAGTTAGAAACCACTTCGTATTTCTGTGGCATTTTACACTGTATGGTCTTCTTACTATATTTGATTGTGTCTGAATGTATTCCAGCCTCTGCAATGTGTATTGAAGCACAGTGATGGTAGCTCAGAGAACATTACATTAAATCATACCTTTAATGAGCAACAAATTACCTGGTTCAAGGCAGGCTCAGCTCTCAACAGAATGGCAGAGCTACGCTAACGACAACACACAATTAGGAAATTGTACAGTAGTTCAGGGTACCCCCTTGGATGTTTTACCCTCAAATAATATTCACTCACTGAAGTATTGACTGATTTAAACTGGCATGAAAAATTCTAAACTATGCAATATTACATTCTGCAAAGAATACTGACGTTCTCAGAAGATATTGTGTACTTTGGAAAATATTCTTAATATAGTTAACATTGTATAATGGTCCTGAAAGTATTATTTATTAATGTCAAGAAGATGCGGATTGAATGTCAAACCTAAGACATCATGATTCAAGAGACCTGGTCATATTTTAGAAGATCTATAAAAGTTAATGTATGACTATATTAATTTGATAAGCAGAATGCAAATCTATTAGCTGGAGTCATGTGAGTCATATTAGCTTAGGTTAGAGGTCAGACCACGTCCTTCGTGTATGAAGTAGAGTGTGAGAGCAAGGGTGGTTAGGATTGCCAAATGTAGCAAATGCTTTAATAAATGCTGGACTAAGATTTGCCATATTCTTACTTGTATGTCCCAGCACTGCCAGGGCAGCCCTGTTTGTTGTTGTTTTAAGGGGTAGGCCACGGCAGGATGGGTGAAAACAGAATTTACAATTATGTCAACTTGTACATAAGTTAGTGGAACTGACATATCATAAATAATATCATTTTACCTTCACATTTATTAACAAGGCCATCATCTTACATTGAATTTGCCAAAGTATAGAGCTGAGATTAATTATACATAATTTTGATTATAGTTGATATTAACTTATGAAGATCCAATTATGGTGAAAATATTTGCTGCAATGTACTGAACAATTATTACTGTGTTCAAATTTTTCAATTAGAGATGAACATGTGTATGGTTCCATTCTGTTTTAGGGGTTTATCTCATATATGTTTTCTCATATTGCAGACAAAGTTGTAATGACCTTGGAGTTGTGCCACAAATAATACGGAATTCATGGTGTATTTCCTTATTCTGTTTTAGACCAAACATTCACACTCTTAAGTCAATTAAGGGACATTTTATGACTTTGTGACCTTGGAAGCATATATCATATTCATATTAAAATAGTATCAAAATACATTGGATCATATATCAACTTATTTTGGTTTTGATTCATTACTTGTATTAAACCTCAGTGTAATCACATTGGAAGGTCGGTAAATGCTTTTCTAAGAGTACACTTTGAGTGTGTTTATGAATTGAATTTGCACATTGTGAGTGTAGAAATAATATCTTAGCTCACTGAAAGATGGATTGTTCAGATTGTTAAAAGTGATTAGATTAGATAATAAAAATTAAAATGATTGAATATTAACTAAGTGTAATTGTTATTTTATAATGGCACCATTTGCCATTTGTTACATACGCCGAATACCTTCAACAAAAAGTTGAAGGCAATAACAATAGGTGACATGATAATTCTTTTTAATCCTAATACAGGATTTGTTGCCACATTTGAGACTGGACGTTAATTTTATTCAGGGGTGAATCAAACATGACAAGTTTACTTTAATATTTCGAAAAAGTAGTGGAACATGGAATGGTCATGGGAAGTTAAATTATTTGATCCGAACAACATTTTTCAATTTTTATGACACAAACTGAAAGTAAAATACAAGGAGTGATTTTAACAGGATGTGTCTGTTTAAATTACAGGATAGGATTTAAGACTATTTGATACACTATAAGGTCCCTTCAAGCCCCTAACACGCCCATTATTTAAATAACCCTATTGATACTTTTTTTAAAATTAAAGTGGCAGAAAATAATACTTGTATACTGTAAATATCTATCTTCTAAAGCTGTTTAATATTTCCCTTGCAATTTTAAAAGTTATTGAAGTTAAGATGCAGAAGTGTATATATAGCCTAGCATGAAAACGGCCATTTGTTGGTTGTATCAGCTCGTTTCTTATCATTTCCATTAGTTGCTACACTTTACTTTCGAAACTTATTTTTCGAAAAAACCCAAGCTTTCTCAAATCCAATGCGCTAACAGGATTTACCGATAATAATATTTTTTCCATTTATTAGCATTATTCAATTCAATAATTCTCTCTTGGTCACATTTACTCATCTATTATATCAACACAAGAGATAGTGAGTGCAAAGTGTTGAAGTTATCTTTTCAAAAAGCATGTCAATGTCTGTTTAACAACACCTATTCAAGAGAATTGTATCGAGTAGTATTGGAAGGCCTTGATAAACAATTTTTAAGGTAGAGGATGATTTATCAAAAAAAAAGAAAAAAAAGAATTCAAAAACTCTCCTTCATATGAAAAATGAGTGTCAACTTGAGTAACATCATGGTATATCAATAACTTCCCTCGTGCCCTAAACTTCAGCAGCTAAAATAAAGGGAAACCTTAGTATCATTGGGAGACAAGGATCAACAGGGTAATATTCGAGGGACACATCGTAAAACTGTTATTAGCTCAATTCTTTGAAGACTGAAATGAATGTCAACCCTTAAAACTTTTTACAATTTCCTTTAAATATATCTACATGCAGGTTTTTATGATTTTGCGTTGTTTTATATTTTGCGTAAACGGACGCTAAAAAATTATCTCACTGCGCCGCTACGTTTGACAATACAGATTATAAATCGTTCTGTTGAGCTGCATTATAAAATAGAATTTTCACATTCATAAATTTAATTTTTACGCAGGTGCATATTAGGTAGTTAGTAAAATGTTTTGGGGTTAAAACTAAAAACAAAATGGAATAAAAAAATTTCCATTGGGAAATAAGTTCAGCATCTTTTAAACGAACAAGTCGTTTAATATGTGCGTTGGATCCAACAGCATTTTTCAGTTTTATTCATGTGGAGTGTACAATTTTCTAACCGTACTCAACTAGAGTCAGAAAGTAAGCCAAACTAGATGGGACAGGAATCTCTGGAGTAGGACCATCAATTCTATGCACTTCACAAGGCCTATCCCAGTGACCGGACCGCTATGCCATCGCGAGTCTTGAGTTATTTTTAAGAAAATATTTTTTAAATCAAAACACCTCAATGAAGACGGCCCTGAAATACATGTAAATCCTGCTTAAATCAGTAAATTGACACCTCGACATAAATTCAAGATTGTTTTAGAAAACATTCACATTGTTATAGAGTAAGTGTAAGTTATTACTATTTTTGATTACATTTAGCAAGTGGTGACTTATCACTTAAGGCCAAAGTGTTATAAATGGTCTACAAGAATAAGAAACCTGAGAGGGAGCAGTCCATAAATGTAAATAAAACTTCCAAGTATGGCTGGATAATGTTACAAGCAGGAACAATGATCCGTCTCATAAGTGTAAAGAAACACGAGGTGTAGAACCAACATTGTACATCCTGATAGAGTTTACAGTACAACTACAAGTCGACAATACATGTACTGGGCCACAAGTTCTGAACAGGAGTAGGAAAACAAATACTTTAATATTAATACACTGTATTGGCTGGGTAAGTAAATTATTATAAGTTATTCAAGCTTATTGCGTGTATTGCGTTAGTTAAACACTTTCAAGTGTTTTTTCTCTTTTTGACAATCCATGTCAACATGTTACTACATTCTTAAGACATGTCTTTATTAGTATTTATAGGTTTTACTCATAAGTTTTGACATAAAAGTGTCAGGAGGATATATAAAAGTAGATGAACCACGATATGAAGTCATCATGATTTTGCATACAGAAAACGCTTTCTGGATCTTTAGGTCATTTGTAAATGGTATTTGATGTTTTAATTTTTTCACCAAGTTTGTATTCAATGATAGTTCACTAATATTTTCATGATTCAGACCATTTGAAATACGAGATGACTGATTTGGTCCATTCCCGGGTCCATTTCAAATATATAAGTTATAACAACATAAACCTCCAAGTAATTAGTAGGACAGGGTCATTGAAATTTGGTTTGGCACTTGGGTGGGCTAAATTCAAAACAGAACAAAATTCGCAATATTCTTGAGAATGTTTTATGGCTATACAAAATGCAAAACGATGTTTTCGACAGACGTGTTGATTAATGAGGAACTTATCATTTTATCTTTCTTCAGCAAGTAAAATAAACATAAAGTTTAACGTTCACAATTCACACATATTGGTCCTGAATGAATTCATTATAGAATTTACATTTAAAGTGACAAGAGATATTTGAATAGTGATATCATTGTTATTGAATAAATTCAGATTTCAAAAGTGTTAGAGCAATGTTTATTGAAAAGATAGTAAAGTATGACTTAGTATAGGGAGCTTTGGTAAACAAGTACATTTTATCTGTCTAATCAAAATAAAAGTGTGTTTCAAAAAGACAAGATATATTGGAAATGATAGTTAACTATGACTTAGTATAAAGAGCATTCGAATGCCATACATTTTTTCTGTCCAGCCATAATAAAAATGTGTTTCAAAAGACAAGATATATTTTTCTGTACGCTTAATTTGAATAGTTTACCTTATACCCTTTCATACAATACCAAACGTCATCGACATGTTTGGTTCATAAGAATTAATATTGATATTATATTCATTCATAAAAGTAGCTCTTTAGACCACAAAACGCCCTATAAAAAGTGCCATAAAAGATTTGTATGTAAGCTGAATAAGAATTAACACTTTATATAAAGCGCATTTGTTTGATTTTGTATTCTTATCGCATTTTAGGTGCAGTTATTGAACGCCTTCTGAACAGAGACAGCCGCCTTCCCACGACATTCAAAGTTTAATGGCCGGGCACACCCTGATGATGTTAAAAGACAGTAGAGAAAGAAGATAGAGACTGAGTAAGACAGCGCATAAAGGCAAAATACAATTGGACATGGTTGTAATTGAGTCAGTGCTTAATGAAGGAACGTCCGTCAATTAAGATATTATTATGTGACATTGCAAGATACAATACGGATAAGGGTCTCAATCCAAACAGTTATGTGTAACATAATAACATATACAAGCCCAGTTATATACCATACAATCTATTAGCTCACCATCTAAACAATCTGTCAACGGCAATGTTTTCAACCCTGAAGCTTCATTGAAACAAGTAAATGTCAATTGTAGTTTCACCTGGCTTTATAAATGAACTACTGTCATTGGGGCCATCACGTTATCTCACTACAATGGTGAATTAACTACAAATCACGGACCGAATGTGCTCAGGAAACAGGATTTTCAGAATCGGAACTTTAGACGACTTCAAAAATCAGGATACCTATAGATTGTGTCGTGAATGCAGAAACTCTAGTTATAATGATGAACTAGCCGACCTTACATATTTGAGGGGACCTAATTGGTTACAAAAGCAATATGATGTATTCTTTTGTCGTGTTTTGCCTTTAGCTGCTAATAAAAATTTGGTGTCATAGCGACATTAACATAAACATGATGAAATAAAATCTCGGGTTTAATTATTTTCCTAACTCATTCATACCCATTTGGAACCGACAGGACTGACCGAGTGCGCATAGCAAAGATTTGTGGAGACATCATAGGCTTCATAGGATATCACCTCTAAATAACACCTGCCGAGAATAAAGTTTATCAAACCTGGTCATATATAATTGTTGAAAGTGTATAATATTCTTATATTTTTATATTTATTGCTGTCAAGTGTGAAGGAGTGATAAATTAAACCATGTGCACGAATCCCCGACAGTCGCTAGACCTTGAGCCTGAAGACAGGTACGAGAACATTGAGAAAAACAGGAACAGTGACTGGCGACGAGACTCCCGATACGTCCCCTCAAGAATGAGTGTCAGTGGGCACCATAACACTTGGTTGAATAGTGTTTTTAGAAGAAGAACAGACTCGGTTACAAAATATCTCCAGAGTACGGGGAGGCGAGTCTCTTTAAATGATCTTCACTCACAAACCTTGAAACGCAATCGAAAACGCTTGGTCGCGAAAAATGGCGACCGAAATATTATCCAAACTGACATCAAGCGCCGTGGACAGGGATACCTCGCTGATATATTTGTGACTCTGGTCGATACAAAGTGGAGACTGATACTGTTGATGTTCGTCAGTGGATTCATCTTATCTTGGCTTGTTTTTGCACTTCTATGGTGGATCATTTGTTTTTCTCATGGTGATTTTGAACACACGAGTGATATCGATTGGGTACCATGTGTGGACGCTGTGGAGGATTTCCCCACAGCGTTGTTATTCAGCATAGAGACGCAACACACTATAGGTTATGGTGGTAGGGCAACTACCTCAAAGTGTCCAGAGGCCATCATATTAATGATGCTACAGTCATGTATGGGAACACTGATGCAGGCTATTCTCACAGGAATCGTATTCTCAAAGATCCAGCGACCAAAACGCCGTTCTCACACGTTGATATTTAGTAAGAACGCCGTAATCTGCATGCGAGAGGGTAATTTGTGCCTACTGTTCCGAGTTGGTGATATGAGGCGCTCACACATGATTGGTGCGCACATCAGGGCTATAAAAGTAAAGAAAAGTGTCACTAAAGAAGGTGAAGTCCTCCCGTTGTTTGAACAAGACGTAGCGTTTCATGTTCCGCCTGATGGAAATCTTTTCCTTGTCTGGCCAGTCATGGCGTGTCACATCATCGATAAAAACAGTCCGTTTTATAACATCTCTAGTGAGGATCTTCAACGTGATAAGTTTGAACTTATTGTCATCTTAGAAGGGACTATTGAGTCGACGGGAATGTCCGCCCAGGCTAGAACGTCCTACTTGCCATGTGAGATTCTGTGGGGACACAGATTTAGACGTCTTACTATGTATCAAAAAGACACGGGCGAGTATCAGATTAGGTATAATAACTTCCACGCCACTGTGCCCGTGGACACACCAAACTGTAGCGCCAAAGCTATGTTTGACAATCCCGACATGGACACGAACTATCCGTCAGAATACGAAGAAACCATACTTCCCACACCTTCCTCCGAGTATCCACCGATTCCAAATTTTAATGTTCCTATAGTTACATTTGAAGACACGGATAAGTTGAATAAAGATGAAGAGGCATTCTTGTGTGATATCAATGATGGGGACCACCAAAGAGAAGAGTGTGACCTGTGCAACAATAACCTAATCAACCAAAGTAGCCAATGTCGTGAGCTCAAACTTGACCCCACTGAGCTACATTCCGATTCAAATACTAAAACTCAAAATGGTGACGCCAAAATCGTTAGCAATGTTACAAATCTTGCCGAAAATACCGATGCAGATCATTTAAAGCCACCATCTAGAAAAATTATTAAGTCAAAGGGCAGCAAAATATTTACGGTTGAGAAAGCAGATCACATACCCGTATCATTGGCGAAACCTGGTATCATGAAGCTTAAAAACAGGAAGGACAGTTGTACTTCCTCTGACACTGACAGTCCAGTCAAAGAACGCCCTGCACCGCTCGTGAGAATGCGAAGTGACAGCAGCATAAGTCTGGACACAATGGACGATTATGACGATTATATTGATAGGAAAACCGAGGCTAACACATTGAGAAATTTACGAGAGATATCCCCAACTGGGATCTGACAATTGGCAATATGCATAAAATAGAATTTCATAACTATTATGATTGATGCGAACTGCTGATATATACTGTGTTATATGAAACCATGGGCTTTCTCTGTGATAGTCCATGCTGAAACTAGTGCCTTATAATTAGGTCATAAGGTTTTGGATAAGAGATGTATGTTTTTAAATGCTCATTAGTAAATTGAATGCTCTTCAAAATTAAAAGTTAATATTTACCCCCAGTAAAATGTGCATTTTGGGGATTCGTGTTGTTGATTGATGTTTTAAAAAATGTAGCGTTGTCTACAGTTTCCAATAAATAGAACAAAATGAATAACAGGAACTTAGACTCACAGACTGTTCTTTTTCGCGCAACAGAAATGTTTCCTAGTAAAATTGGGCATAACAATAAGAGACATACATGTACATGCACTTCAAGAATAAACAAAAACATTACAGTTTACAGTAACACATTGCTTAGTCATCGGGTTTTATCTTTAACACGTTTAAACGTTTTAACACGTCATAAAATTCAAATCGAGTCTTATTTACAGAAATAATCAGAATTAATCATTAAACAGATGATCTTAGAAACATCAACGAAAAATGTTTAAAATCCAAATAATTAATATGTGGTTATTTTAGCAACTCTGTAAATCTGATTTTGACTTCGGTAAAATTGAAAAAAATCGAATCAATAATCTTGGAACAAAAGCTCTTTGGAAAAATAACATCCATTGATAGTTTGCTCAATTCCCAAAGAAGTCATATAACATGTATACTTTCTATATTTTCCATTCCAACGGATACGTCAAATTCCACTTTCACTGAGCAGAATATAATTCTAAATGGGATTAGTATCGTTCCAGATAGTGGACAAAATTTGTTCGATATCGGGAAACCTTCGATTTCTTCTAAATCAAGAAAAATCTGGAATCTAGTTGTGCAAGCTAATAATTCTGATTATAAACAAGTACAATACAAAGTAGGCCAATGCTCCAACATCTCCGAAATCAGAGAAATCTTAATAAAAACAGCTTGGCTTAGGATGATACTAACTAAATGATATTTTTGCAGCACTTGATGAGATATAGACTAACTCATGATCAAATATAATTTAAACTGTATGCACGAGGGAGACATGGAAAGATTCGTCCAGCGTGGGGGAGCATGCTATTTCTCATGAAAACACTAAGAAAAACTCAAAGATTATTTTTTACTCATATATCGTTATACCAAAGAAAATTACCTACTCTCTGCAATGAGTGTATCATCTACGGATAACCTTTACTTCTGTTTGAAGTCCAATAACGCTAGGAGTAATAGCTATTGAAAACGGCGCCAGAGTTTCATAAGTATTTTTTTTAACTTTTAATGGCACGACATATATGGGCACGATAATATAATTTATATAGATTTTTGCAGTATAATTTTGAATGTAATATTGAGATTTAGATGCATTCTAAGGTCTTTTGAATTTTTGTAATATTTATTTTTATTTTTTGTCTACCGTGAGGGGGAAGTTTCAAATGTGAAATATCTCTTTTCCAACTACACTTTTAGAGAAGAGAACGTGTCAAACCCCTCTCCCAAATTGACACGTTTTCCCCACTGAACCTATTTTGTAGTACTTTAATTGGCTCTATATTTTGTATGAGCATAGGCCAAGGGAAACTCACTTCTATATTGAACTCAACAGTACTTTTTTGAGCAATTTGGAGAAACATTGGAATAGAGAGGGGGTGTGCATAAACCTTTACCCAGGAACTTTTACCATGTTTAAAATAGCATTCGGTGATTTCTGGACACTTTGAAGTGTCTAATCAATAGAATCAATTTAACCAATTTCAGATGAATTTCTCTCCGTAAAATTTTATTAGTTCAAGATGCTGTCTGGGCATTTCTGGGCATTTCTAATGTGTTTGAGTAAATAAATGCTAAATATGTTTTGAGTTTGGGGTGCCAGAAATTTTTGTGATTTCAATATAACACTTGGTGATTTCTGGGCACTTTTAAAGTGTTTAAATCAATAAATAGAACTTCCAAAAAATTCAAAAAATATTTTTATTTTTTGTGTACAAGGGGTAATCCCCTCATTTAACAAAATTCAAAATTTTATTTGGTGAATTCTTTGCACTTTAAATGTGTTTAAGTCAATTTATGGAACTAAATGAAAAATATAAGGGGATGCCAGAAGTATTTACTAATTCAAGATGCTTTTTCTGGACAAAAAATCACTTTTCATGCAGAGGGAGCGAGAAGGTGTGACCCCTTTCTCAAGGAAATTTGATCAGTCCAAGATACTGCATTATATTTGTGATTTATAGACACTTAAAACCCCCAGTTTGAACCACTTTGGCTTATTTTGTAGTCTTTTGAAGGATGTTTTGTTCGAAAAATCTTTAGAGGTCACATGTATCTTTTAATAAGAAAAACTCATACCAATGCATGCATTCATCATCACATGTTTTTGCCGAAAAAATTAAGAAAATCAGTTCATAGATAGGCGAGAAATGAACTCATCAATGCATGAAAATGGTTCAAATTTTTTCTTTCTTTTAACCTGGTTAGACAATCAACATTGCTTTATTTTTGAAGTTTAGTAGCATATTTAGAAAAGATTGACATAGAAAAAAAAATTCAAAAAGTTTTTACCTTCTGAGTGAGTCATGATGACATCATATTTTTGATATGCTAAAACATTGAAGTGGCACATTAGATATGGCATTTTATTATTTAAATGGTGTGTCCTTTGTTCAATCCTTGCATTGTGTTAAAAAGATAATCTTTGTTGAAATGTATGGTGGAATATTTGTTGATTAAAAAATTTCGACTTTTTGATAATTGGCGAGAAATTTGGAATATTTGAAAAATGAAAAACGTTTTTTCAAAAATATTACAATTTTAAGATGATAATTTGTGGTCCCTGGCACCTGGGCACTTTAAGTCAATCAAAAATTTTAGAAAATTGAAAAACATTTTTTTCTAATCTTTTTCTTTTTTGGAGGGGGGGGGGTGCCAGAGGGGCATGTGGCAGAGGAGGAGCAAGGGGTTGTCCCCAAAAACCATCAATAGACAATAGATTGAATAAATTCACATTTTTTCAATTATTTTGGGGGGCGTTTTCCAAATTTCTTTTTAGGGGGAGGGTGTCAGAGGGGGTGCGGGCGGTCGAACCGAACGCAACCCCCTCCATCTTACGGCCCTGTACGTCGTCTAAAACTCTATAAGAAAATACTAAAGCTTCCGAAAACTCCAGGGTAATAGATTTAAAATTTGATACACAAAAGTTGATATAAGTAAGATACATGTATAAGTAATTTACATTAGAAACCCGTTTGATTCATTTCACAACAGAAGAATATGAAAAATAAGGACGTGTTCCCTGTCTAATGTTTTATCATGGAGTCATGGATATCATACAGTCTTCAGGTCCGTGGTTTTATGAATACGTTTTTAGCTTTTACAGATTAGAAAACATGATTTAAAAATGACGAATAGAGATAACGAGATCAAGTCGTTTGACTTTTATCATCAATATCATAACCCTACCAGTTTGTAAAACAATTAACAAAAATTAATTAGATTAAATTCTACCTTATAAGCTCAATGTTATTTTTCGCTATCTTTTACAGTGAGTTATAAGTTGAATATTTTACGTAAATATTTGCACATCAAATAAACATTTTAGATAAAAAATAAACGTGATCGAGTAATCTCTTTGACTGAGGATTCTAATACGATTTTAATTATTCTTTATTCTATTAATAATTTTAGTACGATTTTAACTTACTTATTACAACAACAAGGAATAAATATTAAAACCTACATCTGTTAGGTTTGATATTTGTAATATGACAATTTAGAACAAAAGGAAAATCGCAAAATGTATATTGTTTAACAAGTTTGACAATCAGCTGACAATTCCACAATAATTCACTTGGAATTAAAAAAATACAAATTATGACTGATCAAATGGATGTAAGCTATCTAAGGTTTGACGTGCAAGTGTAACACAACCAGGTTGAGTTTTGACCCCATTTAGTCTGTTTACATGGCTTAAGTAACATCTAACAAGATAGTTTTTGATAACGAAAATTACTTAATAAGTGGTGGTGTTATACAGTACCATACAATACACACTGTAAATGAATTAGCAAGAATTAAGTTGACTTGCAATTTCAGTTTCTGAATTTTTATGATGGACTCGAATGATTTTAATAATCAACCTGAATGTTCATTTACCCGTAACACTTTCAGGGCTAGAAGTCAGTCTATCACGGAATACCTAGGAGCAAGATGGAGACGCGTATCTATGAGTGATGATGACGTTATTTGCGGAAAGCGCCGTTTGGTTGCCAAGAATGGGGACCGCAATATCATACAAACTGATATACATCGGCGAGGACATAGTTATCTGGCAGACATCTTCGTTACCCTGGTAGACACACGATGGAGGTTTATACTCCTCATGTTCCTTAGTGGATTCATATTGTCATGGATAGCGTTTGCGCTATTGTGGTGGCTTATTCTGCTCGCCCGTGGTGACTTTAACCACGTTGGTGATAATGACTGGACTCCATGTGTGGACGAGGTGGTTGATTTCCCGACAGCTCTCCTATTCAGTATCGAGACTCAACATACTATTGGGTATGGCAGCAGGGCGACTACATCTAAATGCCCTGAAGCAATCATCCTCATGATGCTTCAGTCAGTTGGAGGGACACTTATGACCGCTATTCTTACCGGTATTGTCTTCTCCAAGATTCAGCGTCCAAAGCGACGTTCTCAAACGTTAATCTTCAGTAAGAACGCCGTCGTCTGCATGCGTGAAGGCAACTTGTGTTTACTCTTTCGTGTCGGTGATATGAGGCGCGAGCATATGATTGGGACACACATCAGGGCAATAAAAGTAAAGAAAAGCGTCACGAAAGAGGGCGAGGTCCTCCCGTTGTGCGAACAGGATGTTGCCTTTCACGTACCACCCAATGGGGTCCTTTTCCTGGTATGGCCCGCCATGGCCTGTCATATTATCGACAAGAACAGTCCGTTCTATCACATCTCTAAGGAGGATCTTAAACGTGATAAATTCGAGCTTATTGTCATCATGGAAGGAATCATTGAATCTACAGGAATGACTACCCAGGTCAGAACATCATACCTTCCATCCGAGATACTTTGGGGACACCGTTTCAGACGCCTTACCATGTATCAAAAAGACACTGGTGAGTATCAAATACGATACAACAATTTTCATTCTTCGGTACCTGTTGATACGCCCTCCTGTAGCGTCAGGGAGATGACTGAATATCCCGACATTGCCATGGTTTCGACAACTTACTATCAGTCCGACAACGAAGAAACTATCCCACAACAGCATGTGCCTACTTATCCGCCGATTCCAAGTTTTAACAGAAGTGTAAGTTTCGAAGAGCAAGGAAATACAGTTCACGAGGACAGTGACTTCGTTTTTGAAGACATTGATTCAGAAATAACGGAAAGTAGCAAACTAATAACAACAGACTCAAGCGATCAAACAACAAGTGAACAAGTAACTGATCCAAACATCACTAAACTGACTCAAGTTAGAGACGAGGATTTGAACACACCACTGGTCCTTAAGCGTTCAAAGGGGAATAAAGTGTTCACGATCGAGAAATCTAAAAATGACCCTTACATTAATAAACCAAATCCACCCAATCCTGGCATCATAAAATTTAATGCCAGTAAAATGGGTAGTGGAAATGGCACAATTCCAAATAAATTGGTAGGACGTAAGGTGCGTAGTACTTGTGCCACTTCGGACAAGCTTGGCACTCATTTATCAGGAAAAACACAAGACCTCAATCTTAATGACGTTACCAAGGCAACGGAGAAAAATACTTTGAAAAATAGGGATCTGATTACCGTCATTTGAAGGAATGCACTCAGAACAGGGAAATTTCGGAATTTAAAAGAAATCTTATTTTGAGCAAGATTTGTATGCATATGGATTAGTCCCGAGGTTAGGCTATTGTAGATAACTTTACAATGAGAGTGCACGGAAATTTAATAAATCAGATTTAGTCTACTGTAGTTTATGTACCGTATTTACAAGTCTACAAGATCATTTCAGACAGCGCATAGGGTGGTGGTGCAGTCTGGGTGGTGTTCATAGTTACAACTTTAATGAACAGAAATTAAGATGTCACATTTTACTCTTTACCTTATCGATCTCTCTGGATTTGGAAACAGTATAAACATAATTCGTACAAGTTAATATGCTAGTCTCTAAAGTACAAATGATTTATTTATTCGATGAAAATGTATCATGCTTTAAATGATTTAATATGCTTTCACAATTGTTTACAACAACATCCACAATTGTTTTACTCATGGTGATCTTCCAAAGTGCTGCTATTCTACGTGAATGTGTTTTAGATACTAATAATTTCTTCTTCAGTGATTCTGGAAATTGCGCTTCCCCAATGAAATCATATATTTGCTGAAACATTTTTATAGGATCGTTTGTCAGATCCTCGTATTTGATTTGAAGGAATACATTTGGATATTTCTCCTCTAATTTCCTTCTTAAAGTTACGTCACGATACATCCGTTCACATATTGAATGTATCATCTTCACTTGGTTGTCAAGGTCCAATTCTTTAAATCCCGTCCACCCTGTTCTTAATCGACTATTTATGCTACCACGTGGGTCGCGCATGAGATGGATGATTTTAACATGTGCTGTAGATTTCAACCTGCTTAGGTACAGACTTACAGCATCCATTGTTCCTCGCACCACCTTCATTAACACAACCTGAAACAATAATGATACAAGGCATTAGTATAGGCATTAATGTCACCATCTGGCATTTGTTAATGACGCTGAACGGAAGATGCCGACCGCCGACACTAAAAATGGAGACCATAACAATTTATCGCCACTTTTGGTGGTGATATAACTTACACATTAAAAGATCATCATAAAGAAAAGTCTAAAATATTAGTATTTTGGACCATGAATCTTGGTCGATTGCCATATTTATTACATTGACGCCAAAGGTGGGGAAATTGGGAAATTGGGGGATTTCAGTATACTATAACATTTTAAAAAGTTTTTTGGCGTCTTATTGTTTCCCCATTTACATTGAATATTCCATGATGGATTACGCCAATTAATTCTTTGAATAATAATGATAATGTACAGTACATACACATGACAGAAATTGATGGCGATTCTGAATCTGATGATGATGATGCTGCATTCGTGATTGTTACAATCAAACAGCTGGAGAACCAGGTATCGCATGGCAAGTGATTTTGGAGAGCTTTATTTTTGATTCCGGATATAATTGATGCATCCCAATCTTTTTATCAAAATTATGTGTTACCTTTAAATTATTAAATGAAGGACCTCGAGTTTTCCAATTTTTGGCAGTAGATCGCAATATAATATACATAGCATTTATCTGACATTGGAGAACGAACGGTATTGAAAGATATTTCTATTTACATGAAGGTGAAAATGCATAAAAAATCCACATGAATTGTAAAAAATATTACATTTTTCATTAATCATTGGTAATCATAAACATGAAAAGTACAGAAATTTTTTCAAAAAGCATATCTACCTTTTATATCAAGATCTCTCCAAAGTGGGATGTATGTGTTATCATACTCTTATCTCAAACATGTCACAGAGCATGTTGAGAACCCTTAATAATACAAGTGACATGCTTTTATAGCACAGTAAGTGGCTGGGAAAAAATAACACAGAAACTTTTTAATTATTATATGTGGTGGCTATATAAGTCTCTGAGAACATGTTCAGAATTTGAAACCATGAAGACAACTAGTTTCCTATCTAACACCCCAGTCACATTTCCTACGGCGACCGTGCGGTCTATCATTTCTGAGGTCAGTAACATTTACGCTCGCCGTGGAATTTCTGCGGTCGGATACTTTTGCAGTCACATTTCCTACGGCAGCCATACGGCGAGTTTTTGAATTACTGTTGATTTAACGTTAATTCTTCTTTTTATTTATCAACATCAGTACAATTTATAAATGTTGTTTGTAGTGTTAGGATATAGCATCGAATAAAAAGTGCAAGTGAAATATTAGTTGCTGTGGTATCAGTGACCTTACATCAAACAGTATACGTATGTTGTGTTAACAGCAAATATATGACCAAAAACTGACAGAACAACTGTTTCCAAAGGTGCATTACCCATTGAACCCTGTGTACAGTCAACGCAGGTCAAAGGCAAACCCGACCTGCGTCCACCGTTATCCACCTTTCTGCGGTCTAGCAACGGCCTGTTGATTTCTACAGAAATTCACTGATTTAATTGATCTGCGGTCGACGCACGGCCTCCGTACAACAAATGTGACTGGGGTGTAGATAAATAAATATCAATAAAAAGTGAAAAACATCGTTCATATGAGATGTTTGATCGAAATAGGGGTTTTAGTTTATTCTAACAGTACTTCAATAATACAAAGTAAATTAGTAATAGTCAAGTGGTCCTGCATTCATGAGACATTAGATAGCTTTACATATACTTTGACTCTCCTTGCGTGCCCTCTATTAAACCTCCAAACAAATGAAAGATTAATTTACATCCATTTTTCAAAGATGGCAGAAAGATTCATCATGTGTTTTACAGGACAAGAGCAACAAATGAGGGCTCTTCATTAATACACATTTTCCAAATCTCTATATGTATGTATGTATCTTTTATTCCCGATTTTAAATCGGATTTCATATAAACTAATTACATTGTTTGATTAATACAATAAACATAAAACATAAACATAAACAAGGTGACAACATATTTACAATCTTTAAAAGTAGTATAAAAATTTCAGATTACAAGATCTTCTGCAAGTTTATGCAAATAAGGGTACGAGACTAATCCCTGAGTCTGATATGACTATATGAATGTATCTCAAGATGAGCTCTAAATTATGTATCTCAAATGACTCCGAGGCAGGGCCGCATACAGAAGCACAGATTTCTCTTGGATCGAACGCTGGGTGGTTGTTGGGTAACGCAATGTCAATAATGAGTTTATTCCTCATGTGATTGTACTCATTACAGTCGATTAGCATGTGATTTATAGCATCCTTATAGAAATTGCCACATCTATCGCAAAGAAGGTTGGAGTCATTGACGGGCATGGCTAAAACTTTGACTGCTGTGAGAATATACGGAAGTAGATAATTCCGTTTTCTGGCTAAGTTCCAAAGATTATGAGCTCTCAAAACAGAAACGGAAATTCTGATGTCATTGCGTTGAGATTCACTTTGAACTAGGAAGCGTTGTCTGACTACATATTTACAAATGCGTTTCCACAAAATGTTATTTGGAAAATACCCGTTGTCTAGATATTGAATTAGGTATTGTTCTAATTCGTAGGTTTTCAGAATGTTTGAAATGTCGGCGACAAATCCTGCCTGCCGGTGATTTCCGCCGTAAAGCAAATTTGCTCTAAACAGAAAGATGTCCTTTGTCAACGTCAGCTGTTGCATGTTGCAAAGCAGACCGAGAAACGACAGCTTTCGTAGGTCAAGTGTGAACTGGACTGGTAACAGATCAGTTAAAGCGTATACAATATCAGTTCTGGTAGATTTGAACAATTCAAATAGACTTTTGAGGATGAAACGTTGAGCAATTTCTAACTTAAGAATTTCCGATTTTGTGATATTAAACCACAGCTCGCATCCGTAAAGTGCAGTGGGAATACAAATGGTCTTAATTAGATGTATGCCAGTTAAAGGGGTGAGACCCTTCGGATGTACACCAATTCCTGCCAGCGATGCGAAACTGCCTTTTAACTTATGACACGCGCTGGAGACTGCATCAGTGTTTTTAACACTCAACACCATTCTTCTTGCAATCTACTTTTGCCAAAAAACAAATTGCGCTCCTTTCTTTTTGTATAAATTACAATTAACAAAATGTAATAATGTAAATCGCACACCAAGGCATTACAGCCAGGCGTATTCACCAATAAAGAAAATGCATGTTAGGCAAAAATTACTTGATTAAAGAATAAGTGTCAAGACGTGATAACAAAAGTGAATGATTAAATGATGATGGTGACTGACTTAAGGTGACAGCAGGAACTGAGAAAGTTGTTTCACAAAATAGTTTAACTTAACTTGAAGATAACACTGCCTTAATGTCAAATGTGGATGTATGGTCAAAACACGCCTAGTCAATAATAAAGGCATCCCAAATCGCTTGCAATACCATACCTTGTCCTTTTGAAAGAAAATACCAACTCACTGATTTAGATTTACAGGATGTCATCGCAAGCTGTCTACACGTATCAGTCAAGGCTTTTGGATTTGCAACTATTTGCTTCATACAGTTTGTGAACACACTTATGCGGATTTTTGCATTTCTTCCTATCAAGTCATCCTTCATAATGTCTACATCAGCCGGAAGATGGTCTAAGTCACAATCTTGAATGTTGTTATAAACACTAGCCTCTAAATCAATGAGTTCTGGATCAATTCCAGAGAGTTGCCTTGGAAAAGTCATCTTCTAAAAGTAAAAATACAGTGATGTACTATATCGATATATGAGTATATTAATTTTCTAAATGAATCTCTGTTCATATTGATACAAACATTCTATAATCACTTTGCAAATCATGTCACCATTGTTTACATAATTCTTCCATGAAAGTTTGTAGCTAGCATAAATGGTTGGATGTGGATGGCCAAAAGTGACTTTGCGCATTTTTAAATAATTTTACGCATACATATATAGATTTGAATCACACATACACATAGAGGGACGTTTTATCTATAAAAAGAAAAAAACAATTTTTTTTATCATAATTAACAGTTACTCCAGAATGAGAGTTGCGTTTTTATGCCACTCTGTAGTTTATTGAGCTGGAACGGAATCGTTCTTAAACCTGTGTAGATAAAGTACTTTCTAGTCTCGTTTCATCGGTTGCATCTATCACATTTATTGATATTGCAATTTATTCCATAATAACATGTTTTCTCTGAAAAATAAACAGGGGATAAAATATATCAAAAAATGACCTCCATATACTACATGTAAAAATTGAATTCTCGCCATGAGAATTTTACACCATGTACCTTGGCATGCTGTGGATGCAGGGGCTCATAGACGTAAAACGAATCTCTTGTATGGTTCAACGAACTACCGAGGAATGAGGACCCAGAGCGTTCATAAGCAAATATGAAAATGAATTTCGTCCTCTTTTCTCCAGAGTTATTTGCAGAGATGGTTTGATGTGATAGCGATGGAGATTCATGAAAGCCTGAAAAAATAGCAATACTCAATCAACCGGTCATTATTAATTTTAAAAACTTTTATGATATTCAAATTACATAATCAATAGATTTGGACATAAACCAGATTTTCAGTCATTATGAATTAACTTGAAGCAGTATTCACACATAGCTAGGCAAGGTGTGTCCGATTCCAGCCAATCCAAATAGAGTATTCACATAATGAACAGTGTGTGAAATATCAATAACACATGCAAGGTCACTAGTTAAACAGTTGTCATGGTGATGAATGGATTTTCACATTGGATTTGATGACTTGCCAACTTGAAAATGTGTTCTTTTAGTGATTTCATTCCTTTTAGATGATTTTATAGAAAAATGCAATGTGTGAAAAGAATTTAAGCCCAAGACTCAATGCATTGTAGCTGCTTCATTCCACTCAGGCGTTGTTTCCTAAACGTTGCATTCCCGCTGAACAACACCTTCATGGTATGATTCAGCAAACAATGAATTGAGTCCAGGGCTTAAATCCTTTATTCATTGAACAATCCTCGTACTGTAATTAACCTCAACTTGTACTGTTTACGAAGTAAGGCATTTTTAAGCTTTGGCATGACGAAACGACTTGGAAATTCAAAGAATACAATAACTAATGACTTACCTGTCGACGAATATTTATACCATAATAAAATAACGATGACCACCATCAACGTGTATATTAGCAAAGTCTTTACACTTTTAAAACGACGACCTGGACAAACAGCAGCCAATCGCATGTTTTATTCTTGAAGTAGAAATATTATAACTCTAATTCGCATCTGTTAAGGTAGACAGAGTGGAAAGTATTTTTGCCTGTTGTCTGACATGAGCATGAAATCCAATGTGTAAAAGCTTTCACTTATCACAAGTCTATCAAAAGGTAACGGGTGTTACCGTCTCTTCCAAAATGGTGAACATGGTGAAGGGGAAAGGTCGATTTTGATATTTTTGAGTTTTCATCGAATTATACTTCATTGCCGTAAACAATCGGGTTTAAATTTCAACCAGACCTAGTTCTGAAGTTCACATCACATGGAAATTCCGTAGCATGTTAAATTGTACCTTGCATGTTAAGTGTGAACGCCACGATCCATCAGGAAAATAACACTTTGTCGCATCATCGTGAAAACGGACATGCCCGTTGCTGTATAATGCAATCACATTACTCCTGGGCGGAAACATCAGTTTCGTTGGAACGTGGCGTCCACACATGAGATGACATAGGAACTCTACTAAAAATACTGTACTATACTATACTAAAATATCGAAATCGACACTTACCCTTCGCCATTTTGAAATAAACGGTAACGCTTCTTCTCTTGATAATATCAGTGATTATACTTCGTCATCCTTAATAAGATTTCTTACAAAGTAATAAATGTCAATTCAATTCGACAGTTAATTAACGTTTACGACTTTATTTTCAAAATGTTTCATTTACCGTTTACGATTTTAGTTACGATTACTGTAATGGGGTATCCAAGACCCCTCTTTGTTTTTTTGTTTTTGTTTATTGGATGATAGCATTGTCGTTAGTGAGCTTACAATTTTAGGGCAAATTAACCTTTAAATAATTCACTTCATTAAATGTGTGTTTATATCAATTGATGTTATTGTAATGGAATTCTCCTGTCGGTTAGCCATTTATTTATACACTTTTCATTTGCATGGAGTATGTTCTTTTGCACAAACCGTAGAGCGCTCTGCATTTCATGCTTGAAAAGTAGCTCAGCTGGAATGGAATAGACCAATAGACACAACTTTTCCCTGCCACGTGGTAAGTTTTTGTTATCTGCATATGCAAATTTTTTCATATTCGTCTCTAATTCTACCATTGTCTTACACTGTTTAACACCAGACTTCAGTTGGTTTTTCTTTATTTGATCCAATTCGCCTTTAAGTTCTACATACCACTGTGCCACAGATACCTCTTCAAGTCCAGAGGTGAACCACTTCAAATAACTTTTAGCATCTTCCATTCGAGTTCTGTGATTCTGGAAAAGGGAGTTGATGACAGGAGTTTCGTCGAACGTGGCCATTTTGTGTCTCGCCAGGAGCAGCATCTCATTTTTCTGTTGTGTTAATGCCTCATTTGTTGATTCAATTACCTTCCTGTATATCTTTTTACATTGTTCCTGCCCTCTATTTTTGCTTTCTCCTTTTCCTATTTTATGATTTTGTTTTATATTCTCATTTTCTTTTTTGTGCGCGGCATCTTCATTTTTTGTTTTGTTATTGATGAGTTGCCATGGGGCGGGTTTTCGTTCACACACCATCACTCTGTCTGGTACAAGTACTTCATATGGACTCATTTTGTTGACTGGAATATGAGGGGAATCACCTATTCTGTGCTTGACATTTCTTTGAGCAAGTTGTGTATGGTGGTGCGGGGTATTGTGTCCCATCTGCCCTGATAGTGCTGGTAAATGACCATGAGTATGTTTCATAGTCGGCCGGCGATTTCTATGGCCCGTATGATGATGCTTTGCCTTTGGTTGGTTTTTGAATTCTACAGTTAGCAAATCGTCCCAAGTTTGCGGTTTTCCATCATCAGACTTTTGATGGCGTATATGAGATGCGTAATGGCCCCGTGATATCATCCTATGTGTACCTTCATCCGTATCATCCAGATCTTCACTACTATCTGAGTCACCAGTCGCCATCCCTCTACGATTTCTTGGAAACGGATCAAAGTTGATGCGCGCGATTCTCTCTGCATTTGGATGTTTCAAATACTGTTTCACAACATCACTACGCAATGGACTGCGTTTCTTAAGATCCCTTGTTCTGACGTTAAGAACGCCACAAATAACTGTATAAATGGCTTTATACTTTACCAAGGCATCAGTACTCGACTTCAAGTTCTGTTGTTTTAACTGCATAGATTTCTGCTTCATCTGTTAAATCAAAATACATTATAATATCAGTGACGACATATCAATTAGAAGTAACAGAATACCTCCTTTTGAATCAACATAAAACAACATACGAGGGTTGTCCAAAAATTCTTAAATTTCAGCTCCGATAAATCGAAGAATCATGGCATAGCATATGGCATGGCATGGCATGGCATGGCATGGCATATATCCTAGCATTACACCAAATGAATCGCATAAGGTCAATCAGGCATGCCATCAGCTATATGTATACAGCAAAAATAGTTAGCTTAAAATGCTATAGGTAAAAATAAAGTACACTGTACTATGTACCGTACATCTAATAGCAAGTTAGTAACGTACCTTCCCTGTTATCCTCATGACTTTAGTTAGAACGTTCAAATTAACAGGTCCACTTCCTTGCTTAACTGCTGTTGATCCCATGAGAATTGGCTCTCTGACACTCTTCAGTTTAGTTTGTTGTCTTGCGGCAAAATGGTTACTTGCATTCAGTTCATCTGATTTTGTTATTGGAATGATGACCATGTCTTTTTGTTCTCCACTTTTAATAATTGGTATTACATTTTCTCGCTCTTTGATGTCTTTTTTCAACACATTGCCATAAGGCTGGCCAGCCCTGACTGCATTTATTCTTTGGGCTGATTCGTTTAGTAGATCACAGATAGTATCCATTCCTGCTCGTTTTAACTTTTTGACTTTTTTGTATTCGTCCCATGACCTTTTTCCATCATCATTTTCTGATATGTTGCATTGAGTGAATTTTGGAATCTCTTCTGTTATTGCTAGTTTACTTTTATCGACTTTTGGGCCAACCCACTCTCGAACAGCTCTGTCTGCTTTTGTGTCCATCGCATTTTGGAATTTATATCTTCTTTTGCCACTAAACTCTTTCAATGTTAGCTGTATGGGGTCTAGTTCTGGGGACCCTAAGCTCCTATAAGGTTTGAGACGAGACGCAAAGAAACCTTTACCTTTTTGTGAAGCAATAATGCTATTGTTGACACACTCAACAGCAGCAGCCTTGGCATCCATTTTATCATATACTTTGATAACATCTTTATCTCTACGTGAAACACAATCAAGATGATATTGTATATTTTTTTTATATTGACCTATTCCAGGTCCATTAAATTCAGTCTTCATTTTTTTAATAACAGATTCTAATATATCGTCAGTCTCTGAGCGATGTCTTTGCCCTACATGCAGTCTGTTAGAATGTATTGCCGGTTGCGCAGAGGTTTGAATTGAATTTTTTACTTTACTCCAGTACATTTTATTCTTCAATGTTGATGTGTCGGGTCGAATGCTTTCCTTTTCGTGTGACCCGTCCCTGTCGGAACAGACTCTTGTAGTCAAACCTGTAGATTGCATCCTTTTCGGCATGGTCAATATTTCTGTACTCCAACTTTGGGAAGATTTCCCGCAAATAATAACAAACACAACACATACTTTCCAAGAAATTTTAGGAGCCACAATTATGACGTAGTAGCTTCGTCAATGCACCATGTTAACAATTATGATGGCATTCGCATTCTTAGTTCTGGTTTACTAACTTGTGGTAGAATATAGTATAGAATATGGGAAGAATAAAGAAGGGCGTGTTCGTACGTATTCGTTCTTCAAGCAACGTGGCGAATATAGTCCTGCAATATATATATTATTGCCATACTTTCAAGAATGATGGAAATTTTGGATGCATGCTGTATTTGTAACTTTTCAGTATATTTAGGGTGTCCTGAATTCAAATCTGCCGGATGCAATTTTAGTAACTTAAGCTTAAGCTTACTTTGCGGCCTTAGCCTGTACTGGGAATACTAAACCTGATTTTATTCCAAGGCCTGTACCATCATGATAAACCATGACATCTCAAATCTTCTCAGCCCTGAGACGTTTCAGGTGAAACAGAAAGATGCTATTAGTATCAGAATGAGCCTGAGCAGCCATTTCAATATATCACGCGGTGCTAACTCACCGGGGCGTATCGAAACCAATAATAACAAAACCGTTAATTTGAATTTTAAACCTACCCTTTTTTTGGAAAATCAATGATTGTGAGTCTCACAGTAAGCTTACACCGTTTTTCTTCAAACTTGTTCCATTAAAACCTTCACAGAAATACCTTTCACTCGAGATATTGCTTTTGTGTACAGAAGCGCTCGTTTTATGTTTATGTTTATGTTTATTTCCTTTTTTAAATTCACACAAATATACAATGTATGAGTTGGTGACACTTAAAAAGTGTATATTCCCAACAAATTTTTACAATAAAAGTTGTGTGTTGTCATACCTGTTAATGTGCAGTTGGGGACTTGTCTTTGCATTCAACCATACAAATGTTCATTTTTTGCTTGTCACATCTGAGAAGAGACCCATTGAATACAAACATACATGATGAGAGGTTGATAGATGGAAGCTGTAAACAGCAGGCTATGTCAAAAATAAATAAATATCAGACAAATCAAAAGAATCAAAACTGTGTTTGATTATAAAAATAAGAATCTGATAAACTGAGAGATATGTTATGTCCAGTAATAGAAGAGGACAAAAAGGAATACACAAGAGAAGGGGTGGGAGTGATGGCGAGGGCAGTGAGGAGAAAACAAAACAAAATATCAAGTGAGTTAATAGCTCTCCAAAAACAGTTTTTTCAGTTCCTTTTTAAATATATAGATACTTTTTATTTCTTTAAGTCTTTCTGGTAGATTGTTCCAAAGTTGTGGTATTGAAAAGGATAAAGATGATCTGCCATAGTTTGTTCGAGCTTTGGGTTTGTCATAAGTCGTTCTATTTCTGGTATTATAGGGATTTCTTTCGTGCACCATTGTAAAAAGACGGGGGTATATACTCCTATAATTATCCAAGTCATTTTTCCATTTAAACATAAATATACATTTGACTTGCTTATTAATATCAAAGACATTGAGTAATTTTAACATTTCAAAAAGTGGGGTGGAATGAGCTCTGTAATCACTGTTTGTTGCTAGGCGTACAAACCTTTTTTGGGACAAATGGAGCGGGTTGATTGTTGTGGGATTCGCAGCCCCCCAGATAAGATTCCCATATATAAGGTAAGAATAAATCAAAGAATAGTAAATACTCAAAAAGCCTTGGATATTCAGAATATGCTTTATGTTATACAAAATACCTATAGTCCTTGAGATTTTCATGTTAACTGAGGTGATATGTTCTTTCCAAGTCAAATGTTTGTCAATTATGATACCTAAAAAATTTATTTTTGATACTTGTTGGAGTTTGTTGTCACTAAGGTATATCTTAAAATTGCTAGAATCTAAGTGTTTTTGTCTTGAAGTAAAAATAATGTATTTGGTTTTAGAAATATTTAAAGAAAGTCTATTAGTCACCAACCATTCTTCTATATTTTTTAACTCTGTGTTCAAGATATTATTAAGTTCATCAAGGTTTTTACCATTTATCAATAGATTAGTGTCGTCGGCAAAAAGTACAAAAAATAACCTCGGAGATGATAAGTATATGTCATTTATATAAACAATAAAGAAAAGAGGACCTAATATTGAGCCTTGGGGAATTCCACAACTAATAGTGTTTGGTTCCGAGATGACATCTTTGTATAAAGTACTGTGGGTTCTATTTTGAAAATAGCTTTTTATCAAATCAAGTGAAGTACCACGAAAACCATAAAAATACATATATAACTTTTGAAAGAGAATTTAGTGGTTTTAGCGGCGTTTTGGTCCCCAGATGTGAGAAGTTGCATATCCTCAGAGATTTCAACCACAATCCTTGATATCTCGCCAGTTCTTCTATCAATCTCCCTCTAATTCTGCGCAAGGACTCCCATCACAACCCTCAATCGCAGCATCAATATGTTTATTACATGAAATGCAGCAATTCTGAAAAGTCCTACGCAACTGTTCGAAATTGACCAAAACGCCCAGTTGTCTTCCAAAACGCCCCGCAAAGTCTATGACTACAAACGTGTAGTTTCGAGGTGTATAGATCCAACGGGGCGTTTTGGAAGAGAATGGGGCGTTTTGATCAATTTAAAACAGATGCGTAGGACTTTACTTGGAAATTGCTGCGTTTAATGTAATAAATATGTTGATGCAGAGATGGAGGGTTGTAATGGGAGTCCTTGTGCAAAATATAGGGGAGAATAAGAACTGGCGAGATATCGAGGCTTGACATTGACATTGCTTCATATTATAGATGTAGTATGGTAGCCCTACCCCATTCTTCTAAAATAGTGATTTTCAAGAAAACTACATGTATTAATGATACACAACACCTTTTATCACATGCTCACATGTAATATTTAATGTGTAATGATCAATTAGTATATAGTTATCATGCTTTGTCTAAATATAATTAGGTTTGCATTTGGTCAAATTAATGTGGTACCTACCCTATTTTTTAAGTAAAATAGCTATGCAAATAAGATTCCATATTCTCTTTATCAAGGACTAAATGTAGTTATCATGCGGTACTAGCTCACCGGGGCATATCGAAACCAAAACGCCCCGCAAAACCGTTAATTTGAATTTCAAATCTACCCTGTCTTTGGAAAATCGATGATTGTGAGTCTCACACTACCGTTTTTCTTCAAACTTGTTCCATTAAAACCTTCACAGAAATACCATGGGCTCTATCGGTAGAACCAAAACGCCCCGTTGTCTTCCAAAACGCCCCGCAGAGTCTATGACTACAACACGTGTATCTACTAGAATCCAACGGGGCGTTTTGGAAGAGAATATGGGGCGTTTTGATCAATTTCGAACAGATGCGTAGGACTTTTGGAAATTCGTGCGTTTAATGTAATAAATATGTTGATGCAGAGATGGAGGGTTGTAATGGGAGTCCTTGTGCAAAACATAGGGGAGAATAATAAAAGAACTGGCGATATATCGAGGCTTTTGTTTGAAATCTCTGAAGATTTGCATCTTCTCACATCTGGGGACCAAAACGCCGCAAAATGTTACGCGGTATATGGCATACATTCATGGTTGCGCGGTATTTGTGATACGGGTGAATATGCCATACTCACCTGCGGTATATGGCATATTCCGCAGTGAATATGCGATACATTGATTTCCCTGAATACCCGATACTCACCTGTATGTCATACTAAATTGCGGAATATGCCATATACCGCAGGTGAATATGACATATACCGCAGGTGAAAACTTAACGGGATACAGAAAGCCTTGATTTTATTGGTTGCGAGAATCGACTCTAAATGTAAAACTACGCTGGATTTCCAATATAGTTAGTGCGTCGAGTACTAATATATGAATCCTGGATTGATTGAGTAAGTTTATTACGCGAGATTGGTGACTGATACTTCTGCTAAGTTAATATATTCGATACACAGTACTGTTGATTCAGTAATCATTATAATAGTTTATAACGTTTTACTTGTTCGTTCATTCGATGTAATTGACAATTGCGTACTTCCGTATCACGTTCTCATTGGTTAGTGTGTATGCCATATACCGCAGCTGAAGTCTGTCATACACCGCAAGTGAATATGCCATATTCGCTTCGGAATATAAAACGAGTGACTCTGTACACAAAAGCAATGTCTCGAGTGAAAGGTATTTCTGTGAAGGTTTTAATGGAACAAGTTTGAAGAAGAATGGTGTACTGTGAGACTCACAATCATTGATTTTCCAAAGAAAGGGTAGGTTTGAAATTCATATTAACGGTTTTGCGGGGCGTTTTGGTTTCGATACGCCCCGGTGAGTTAGTACCGCGTGGTTATAGTTACTGGATTTTTGCTAAAACTTCCAAATATCAAAAATGAAATGCAAACAGCAGGTAAATACCCTATGTTACATGTAGTCTCTACAAAATGATATTACTTCATAATATAGATATAGTATGGTACACCTATCCCATTTTTGTAAAATATTGATTTTCAAGAAAAATACATATATTAATATACATAACTCTTTTTATCATGATTGTTGTGTTCCGAGTTCACTGACTTATTTTATCATATCTTAAGATTCACGAGAGGGTCAAAAAATAAAATTTTGCTGGAAAAATGCGAGGATGAAGAGTCCCAAAATGTTGGCCCTTTGAAAGTTTTGACTCGATTTTTAAAAATATGGACCCATTTTCTAAAATCGGGGCAAATTTTTTCAAAAGGCCCATTTTCCAAAAATGAGGCATTTTCCTGAAATTGAGACAAAGCCTAAATATATTAATATACTAGCAGTCTGTCTAAATATTATATTGCTCAGGAGTGTTCCATTGTCCAAAAGCCAAACACCCGGAGATCTGACACTCCTCAATGGGTACCCTGTTAGTTTATACAGAGACATATAAAACAAAGCCTTTTGTGCATGAGACAGCAAAATTATAACTGGTTTTATTAACTTAATTTCAACAGTCATCTCTGTAGAAACCTAAAATTGTATTAGAAATTGGAAATCACCGTACAAGTTTATTTGATAAAATAAGTAAACCCAGAATTCTTTGGTCAACTCAGAATACTTCGGCAAGAGTCGGAATACTTGGGTAGCCAAGAACACTTGGAGCTTCACACACGTACGTGGGTACGTGGGTACGAGGTAACATCACGCCTAACCATCGACAACGTACAGTGACAAAACACGCCCTCGTACATTTTAGATGTACTGTGTCGCGTCACTATTCTAACTGATATGAAGCAAAAACTATGATGTGGGTGTGATTTAGTTTTTATAAGTTAATCTGTGAGGAATACTTAATTAAATGATTTCATGTTTAATTTCGTGTGTATTCGATTTGGAAGACATTTACCTTTCTAATTACATTAAAAGATTTTCGACCAGTGCTCGAGGTTTTGTTAGTAAATCTACCCACTAACAATGATAGGTTGGAAAATGTTGTTTTTTTCACATTTGCTTTGGTCATCTTTTCCCCTGTCACCTAAGAGTGTCGATTATTTTTATGAGAATATGTTTCCCACACCCCATAGTCAAATATTAATCACCATATCAACACTTTCATAAAATAAAACAGCATTCAACAAGGGGTAAAAATCACTTTTACCTGTTAATCTGTACCAGGGATACATGAACATGTTCGTTGAACATCACTTGTTACTCATAAAACCCTTAATGTGTTTTGAAATTAAATCATTGCATTGTTTAATATTATATCTCATGCATTTCAATTACTGGGACAACGTACATTGGAGATGACAACGTACATTTTTCATTTTAATTATACCAAATCATCATGAATATTTATTCAACTTTCAACCGTCTTAAATTGTGTTGTTTAGAGAAACATATTCTCATAAACATATTCGGCACTCCCGGCTTTAGACGACAGGGGAGAAAACGATCAAAGGAAATGTGTAAAAAAGGGGGTGGTAGCAGATTCGCTAGAATAGAGGGCGAGGGTCGCTGATATTTCGCTATAGCGGATTCTTTACATTAGTAGTTCTTGTTCAAACATCAAAAACTTATTTAGAAAATCATTTTTTTATGTTTACGTTCATCCAGAAAGCTTCGATGCATCATTTATTCTAATAGGGTAGCTTAAATAGGACACACGCAAGACAACAGTTGCATCTTGTATTTAGTATGTAGGCTTATTCACTCTTTCACTCTTTCCTGAAGTTTTTTACAACTTTACTTAGAATGACGTACAGTAAAGTCCATTTCACTGCTTCATTTCGTTGAAGTAGAACGGCAAATATAAGAAATTGGGAGACCATTGTGCAATAACATATGGAAAAGTATATTCATAATGTACATGAATGACATTTGTATATCTTGGATTGCTTCTAGTTTGGCCTATAAAGTGTGTGGCCTCTTATATTTGGATGTTTCTCTGCCATGTTATTTTCAATAAGATTAACATGGCTGAAATTCTTCAAATTACAAGACGGCACAGGCTTATTGCACAAAAAAACTAAAAAATCTGAAATATACAAATGTCATTCATGTACATTATGAATATACTTTTCCATATATTATTGCACAATGGTCTCCCAATTTCTTATTTTTGCCGTTCTACTGACGAAATGAAGCAATGAAATGGCTGAAATTCTTCAAATTACAAGACGGCACAGGCTTATTGCACAAAAAAACTAAAAAATCTGAAATATACAAATGTCATTCATGTACATTATGAATATACTTTTCCATATATTATTGCACAATGGTCTCCCAATTTCTTATTTTTGCCGTTCTACTGACGAAATGAAGCAGTGAAATGGACTCTATTTGATTTTTGACGTTTCACTTTAGACTTAAGACTTAGACCTTTATATAACTTAAGTTACCTATTTTTAAGTCTGAATGACGCAAAATCCAAACACCTCTCAGTTGCTATATTTATGTTTTTACAATAAATACAATGGCTATTTACCATAACATCTTTTCCAAATTTGTTATGATCACACTCATGCTTCTCACCAGGAAATTTTTAGACCCCAGATTTTTAGCGCTATTGTGATTACTTTTTTCGCGGTATCGCAACTACTTCTCCACCATGTGAGATCAGAGATATCCTATTAGTATACTTTTAAGCTTTTCAACATACTGATTACAGTTTGGAACATAAATAAATGACAGGTGGATTTGCTGAAGTGAGGATTTCCCATGTTAAAAATAAGAGAATTTTCAAGAGGCCATACATCAGTGGATGAGATTATACAAAATGTAAAATATACAAATTTTAAGGGATATGTATCCAGACAATATTAGAAATTATGGGCTTTCAGATGACCATGATTAGGAAATGGTGATCGAAAAATGACCTGTCATTTATTTTTGTCCCCAACTGTATCTTGTAATTTTAATCCCAATATTTATTTCTAAAAAGTTTCTGACTTCCTATTCCTTGTTTGTATCCAGTTTTATGTATTTTTATGTAGTTTTACCGCAAATAATGTGACAAAAATGTAAAATTAGACTTCGGAAAAAACACTTTAGACTCTGGAAAAGCTATTAGACTCTGGAGCACGAGGGTTTTAAGACATTAGAGTCTAAAAGCCTAGTTAGAACCCTGACATTTATGAATTGCTGGGTGTCATAAAAATGTTTTCAAAAATTGTGAATATAGACTATTTATGTATATATCAGTGGATAATTGCTAGATCATTTTACCAGTATATACACATATGTGAAGTTCCGAGTGTTGCAACCCTGTCCAGAATCCAGGACCTCCAGAGTGCTCCAGAGTCCGAAGCTCTACCCTTGAGCCATAAGGGCTAGCCACTGCAGCAATTATAATTGATTGTTGGGAAGAGCAATCTGGGTGACTGGATTTCTTTAAACATTTCTGAAGACTTATCCTTGAAAAAGAAATAAAAAAAACTCTTGTAAGACCCACCATGACTATCAAATGAACATTCCTCTTTAATATTTTTGACTTTTGATTTCAGTTTGTCAAGCCAAACTATGGAACTGTTTGCTGTTGGACTTACCATCATATTACAAGGTAAGTCAGTTTCATTGCTATTGTATGAATGTACTATTGTACATTGTATGATTCAAACATACTTCATTTACACTTGATAAACATACATGTAGATTGGGCAAATGTCATGCAAGTACATGTACAGTGTATGATCCAGGAGAGCAGAATTCAGTACTTTGGAAGAGCTGTATATAACCAATAGCCCCAAAAAATTAAATGCAATGTGTATACCAACCCAAACTGATCGACCCTCAACCTGGTGTGATGTATTTCTTAGTACATGCACTACTGTAGAGACTAGCAAAGCTTTAATAGCCACTGGATGTTTGTATTTATTGTATGTATTGCATATTTATTTGATCAATTCTGTAAGTCATAATACATTGACGTAATTACCACTTTTTATAAAAAGATTAGCTGCAATTGTGATTGTATGATTGAAAAGTAAATATATTACAATTTAAAAGTAAATATATTATGATTGAAAAATAAATATATTATGATTGAAAAGTAAATATATTGTGATTGAAAAATAAATGTATTATGATTGAAAAGTAAATATATTATGATTGAAAAATAAATATAATATGATTGAAAAATAAATGTATTATGATTGAACAAAGTCAAATACAAGGTCAAAAGGTCAAAAAGCAATGTGATTATTATCAACATTATTATGAACATTATGATTAACTAATGAATGATTAAAATTGTAGGTTAGAACCCACTCTGTAAATCAAATTATTTTCTTAGAGGAAGAATAAGAAATGGTTAAATACATGTACATAATTGTTTCAATTCCATGTTACAGTTCCAGGTCTATGTAAACAAACCTTTATTATCTATTTTTGAAGTGGAGTCTCAATACTTTCTTCTCAGATATTATTAGGAAAGATATTAATTCAATAGATATTTTATTCAAATGTTCAGTAGGTGGTTTCGCTATCGATTTAGCACATACTTTTAGCATCTATTAATGGTTGATGATGAATGAGACAAAATGTCAAATCAAGCTGCAAATGATAGAATTGGTTTTCCCCATTTTTTAAAGTCAGCCAAATTTTTCAAGCACATGTCATTCAATGAATAAAGCTAATTTTGCTGTAAAACTTTTATTTTGCAATAACCATTGCCCAATTTACACAGGAGTATCAATAGCTTGATGCATTCCTGAACAGTTGGCTAAGTAATGTTGATATTTGTTGTGGTTCCGTTGTCATAGTAACTTGAAGTGGGATTACAGGCCCCTAGCCAGAATTTGCCAAGGGGGGTTTCAGTTTTCAAAAATTTCCAGGGGGGCTTCACATTTTACACTTTTGGCCCAAATATGGTGAAAATCACTTGAGAAAATGGTGAAAAACTGCAAGACTTTGAAAGAATTTTTTGGCCAGGGGGATTCGCCCGACCCCCCCCCCCCCTCTAGCTACGGGCCTGGGTTCAGAGGAGCAAATCATATCACAAATAAAGAAAAGGGTCACTCTTTTTTGATATTTATGTCAGAAGTCTTATTCCGATTCTATAGTCGCAGTTTTACAACTGTTTTGTCAGTTGTTGGTGTGTTTGTAATGCTTCACAATCATAAGTAGAAATATTGTAAAGCAAAAGTTTTAGACCAAAACTAGCTTTACTTATTGAATGATCTGTATATCCTATTTTTTCTAATTTTCAATTCACAACCTAAATTTGCTTTTCAAAGACATGGACATGGACTGACTTTTTCACATCAGCCCTTAGCACAGGATTTCATTCTGTGTTTTCATTAACTGATAGTAAATTAAGTTGTACATTAACATTGACATTGACCTCACTCTATGGTATGGTATGGCTTATATATCACAGCTTTATCTCTGGATGACATATGACTCTAAACAAACATTGAAGAACTGGCGTGTGAAACATCTGCACACAGAGATATTTAGATTAAGTATATCTTATATCCAACAGTATTGATTCTAGCTGTACAAAGTAGACATGGCAGTAAGACGTTCTCTTGTTGTTGTAGGAGTTCTACTTGGTCTTGCCTTACCTGCAGATTTCCGATTCACCCAGTTTGACTTTCTAAGGAATGATTTAGACCAGCAGGACCAACCATCAAAGTGTGGCTATGAGGTAAGCTTGCAACAAAATTTGGCTATGAGGTAAGCTTGCAACAAAATTTGGCGATGAGGTAAGCTTGCAACAAAATTTGGCCATGAGGTAAGCTTACAATAAAGTGTGACTATGAGGTAAGCTTGCAAGAAAATGTGGCTATGAGGTAAACTTGCAAGAAAATGTGGCTATGAGGTAAACTTGCAAGAAAATGTGACTATGAGGTAAGCTTGCAAGAAAATGTGGCTATGAGGTAAACTTGCAAGAAAGGATGGCTATGAAGTAAGCTTACACCATCAAAGTGTGGCTATGAGGTAAGCTTGCAACAAAGTATGGCTACGAGCTTACCACAAAGTGTGGCTATAAGGTAAGCTTACAAGAAAGTGTGGCTATGAGGTAAGATTTCAACAAAGTGTGGTTATGAGGTAAGCTTACACCACCAAAGTGTGGTTATGACGTAAGGTTGTAACAAAGTGTGGCTATGAGGTGATCTTGCAACAAAGTGTGGCTATGATGTAAGCTTACAACAAAGTGTGGCTATGAGATAAGCTTACAATAAGTTGTGGCTATGAGATAAGCTTACAACAAAGTGTGGCTATAAGGTAAGCTTACAAGAAAGTGTGGCTATGATGTAAGCTTATGACAAAGTGTGGTTATGAGGTAAGGTTATAACAAAGTGTGGCTATGAGGTGATCTTGCAACAAAGTGTGGCTATGATGTAAGCTTACAACAAAGTGTGGCTATGAGATAAGCTTACAATAAGGTGTGGCTATGAGATAAGCTTACAACAAAGTGTGGCTATAAGGTAAGCTTGCAACAAAATATGCCTATGAGGTGAGCTTACAACGAAACCTGGCTATGAGGTAAGCTCACAACAAAGTGTAGTTATGATGTTAGTTTATAACAAAGTGTTGCTGTGAGGTGACCTTGCAACAAAGTGTGGCTATGTGTTAAGCTTACAAGTATGTCTGGCTATGAGGTAAGCATATGACAAAGTGTGGTTATGAGGTAAGGTTATAACAAAGTGTGGCTATGAGATGACTTTGCAACAAAGTGTGGCTATGAGTTAAGCTTACAACAAAGTGTGGCTGTGAGGTAAGCTTACAACACCAAAGTGTGGTTATGATGTAAGTTTATAACAAAGTGTGACTGTGAGGTGACTTTGCAACAAAGTGTGGCTATGAGTTAAGCTTACAACAAAGTGTGGCTGTGAGGTAAGCTTACAACACCAAAGTGTGGTTATGGTGTAAGTTTATAAAAAGTGGGGTTATGAGGTGACCTTGCAACAATTTTTGGCTATGAGGTAAGCTTGAAACAAAGTGTGGCTATGATGTAAGCTTACAACAAAGTGTGGCTATGAGATAAGCTTACAATAAGGTGTGGTTATGAGATAAGCTTACAACAAAGTGTGGCTATAAGGACATAAGGTAAGCTTGCAACAAAATATGGCTATGAGGTGAGCTTACAACGAAATGTGGCTATGAGGTAAGCTGACAACAAAGTGTGGCTATGAGATAAGCTCACAACAAAGTGTGGTTATGAGGTAAGCTTACAACAATGTTTGGCTATGAGATAAGCTTGCAAAAAGTGTGGCTATGACGTAAGCTTACAGCAAAGTGTGGCTATAAAGTAAGCTTGCAACAAATCTGGCTATGAGGTAAGCTTACATCAAAGGGTGGCTATGAGATAAGCTTGCAACAAAATGTCGCTTTAATACACTGTTTACAGCTTTCATTCAGTATTGGTGATCGAAATGACCCATCGATATAAATTATTGTTGCATTTAAAAAGTGGTGTGAATTTTTAAAAAATTGAAAATATTTATTGGATATGTGCTACCTCTAAACAAACAGTGCGGATGTCATCACTTAAAGGATATCTGCACCGCTTGTTTAGAGATAGCTCATTTATGTTTAACCTCTTGAAGTCTACGCCTATTTATACACAATTTCTTTTTTATTAGGGATCCTGCACAGATATATGAAAATAATTCAGTACCAAACATGGCTTAATTTGTTAATATTATGAATTCAAATTAAAAAAATAACCTGATATCTGAACCATGCACACGTGGTATCCGCACCACTTGTTTTCATATAGTACAGTCTGCATAGGGTGTTGCTGGTGTTTCCTAAATCTTAATATTTGCAGACTACGCAGTCAACTTTATCAAGACTGTTTGACCTCAAGTCTGATTAATTGATGTGTTACTGGTGTACCAACATTCTATGTTAAATAGGATGTTATTATCATTCATATCATATTTATTTTAGCTTTACATTAATACTTTAAGTGAAGTACATGTTAAGACCAAGTCATTATCAATATATTATATATGTGTTGTTTACAAATCATTTAATCTGTAAACATTTGCCTCAGATAATTACATGTACATACTGTATGTATATTGCTTTCATTGTTTCATATATCTCAATATATCCAACTTTGTAACTTTGGAAACTGTACTGTTTTAAACGAACATTTATTGTTTTGCTTTGTTTAAAGATTTGGAACCCTAATTGGAAACACTGGTGTGTTGAATGTATATATTTATATCTAGTAGCCGAAACACACTTTTTGAATGTATATCTAGTAGCCCAAACAAATTTTATAAATGTACCTCTAGTAGCCAACACATATGATTGCTTTTGTTTCAGAGAGTTGTAACCTTGGAAAGCCTGGTGTATTGAATATATATAATTATATCTAGTAGCCCAAACATACTTTTTGAATGTACATCTAGTAGCCCAAACAAATGTTTTTTTTTGAATGTACAATTAGTAGCTCACACATACGATTGGTTTTGTTTTCAGAGTTGTAACCTTGGAAAGCCTGATGTGTTGAATGTACATCTAGTGCCCCACACACATGATGATGTTGGATGGTTGAAAACTGTGGACCAGTATTACTATGGAGGTATATATGTCTGAAACTTTTAAAGCTCTAATATACTAAATTGCTTTATTGCAAACAATTTGTAAGAGATAATATATAGTATTATAAATTGAATATATTTCAAAAATGTTTTATTTTGACTGAAGCATGTCAATGTTTAAGCTAAGGAGAATATTCAACGTGCAGGAGTGGAATACATTCTTGACTCAGTGGTTGATGAACTGCTCAAAGATCCAAACAAACGATTCATTTATGTTGAGATTGCATTTTTCTACCGTTGGTGGAACCAACAGACAGATGCTAGAAGACACAATGTTAAACGATTAGTCAATGAAGGTATGTGGCAGCAATGTTTATTTGAAGGGGACTGTTGTGCAATGCAGTTAAATGAGATGGCAACTTTTACAAATCTGATTTGCACTGACATAGCAGGCCTAAAATCCTGTAGGCTTGTATTCCTTACATTGCTTTAAGAAAATCAACAAACGTCTCCAATTTACATGCCATCTCATATGATTCTGCGCAACAGCCCTCTGATTTAATGACCCCAATAATAAAGCAAATTTATGAATATTTCAGCAAAGGGAACAATTTACAGGGCAGGTGTCCAATACGTTCTTGACTCAGTTATTGATGCCTTGGTGAATGACCCCTCCAAGCGATTTATTTACGTTGAAATAGCTTTTTTCTCACGGTGGTGGAACCAGCAACATGATAGCAAGAGACACATTGTCAAACAGTTGGTGAATGAAGGTAGCGCATGACATGTGACCTCCTCTAGCTGAAGTTCATCTACTAATAGCATGTTTCCCATGCTCTAGTCTAGCGCATGATGTGTGACCTGCTCTAGCTGTAGTTAATCTACTAATAACATGTTTCTCATGCTCTAGTCTAGCGCATGATGTGTGACCTGCTCTAGCTGTAGTTCATCTACTAATAACATGTTTCCCATGCACTAATCCAGTGCATGAAGTGTGACCTGCTTTAGCTGTAGTTCATCTGCTAATAACATGTTTCCCATGCTCTAATCCAGTGCATGATGTGTGACCTGCTCTAGTTGTAGTTCATCTACTAATAACATGTTTCCAATGCTCTAATCCAGTGCATGAAGTGTGACCTGCTTTAGCTGTAGTTCATCTACTAATAACATGTTTCCAATGCTCTAATCCAGTGCATGATGTGTGACCTACTTTAGCTGAAGTTTATCTACTAATAACATGTTTCTCATGCTCTAATCCAGTGCATGAAGTGTGACCTGCTTTAGCTGTAGTTCATCTACTAATAACATGTTTCCAATGCTCTAATCCAGTGCATGATGTGTGACCTACTTTAGCTGAAGTTCATCTACTAATAACATGTTTCCTATGCTCTAATCCAGTGCATGATGTGTGACCTGCTCTAGTTGAAGTTCATCTACTAATAACATGTTTCCAATGCTCTAATCCAGTGCATGATGTGTGACCTGCTTTAGCTGAAGTTCATCTACTAATAACATGTTTCTCATGCTCTAATCCAGTGCATGATGTGTGACCTGCTCTAGTTGTAGTTCATCTACTAATAACATGTTTCTCATGCTCTAATCCAGTGCATGATGTGTGACCTGCTCTAGTTGTAGTTCATCTACTAATAACATGTTTCCAATGCTCTAATCCAGTGCATGATGTGTGACCTGCTTTAGCTGTAGTTCATCTACTAATAACATGTTTCTCATGCTCTAATCCAGTGCATGATGTGTGACCTGCTTTAGCTGTAGTTCATCTACTTATAACATGTTTCTCATGCTCTAGTCTAGCGCATGATGTGTGACCTGCTTTAGCTGTAGTTCATCTACTAATAACATGTTTCTCATGCTCTAATCCAGTGCATGATGTGTGACCTGCTCTAGCTGTAGTTCATCTACTAATAACATGTTTCTCATGCTCTAGTCTAGCGCATGATGTGTGACCTGCTCTAGCTGTAGTTCATCTACTAATAACATGTTTCCAATGCTCTAATCCAGTGCATGATGTGTGACCTGCTTTAGCTGTAGTTCATCTACTAATAACATGTTTCCAATGCTCTAATCCAGTGTATGATTTGTGACCTACTTAAGCTGTAGTTCATCTACTAATAACATGTTTCTCATGCTCTAATCCAGTGCATGATCAGTGACCTGCTTTAGCTGTAGTTCATCTACTAATAACATGTTTCTCATGCTCTAATCCAGTGTATGATGTGTGACCTGCTTTAGCTGTAGTTCATCTACTAATAACATGTTTCTCATGCTCTAATCCAGTGCATGATCAGTGACCTGCTTTAGCTGTAGTTCATCTACTAATAACATGTTTCTCATGCTCTAATCCAGTGTATGATGTGTGACCTGCTTTAGCTGTAGTTCATCTACTAATAACATGTTTCTCATGCTCTAATCCAGTGCATGATGTGTGACCTGCTTTAGCTGTAGTTCATCTACTAATAACATGTTTCCAATGCTCTAATCCAGTGCATGATGTGTGACCTACTTAAGCTGTAGTTCATCTACTAATAACATGTTTCTCATGCTCTAATCCAGTGCATGATCAGTGACCTGCTTTAGCTGTAGTTCATCTACTAATAACATGTTTCTCATGCTCTAATCCAATGTATGATGTGTGACCTGCTTTAGCTGTAGTTCATCTACTAATAACATGTTTCTCATGCTCTAATCCAGTGCATGATGTGTGACTTGCTTTAGCTGTAGTTCATCTACTAATAACATGTTTCCAATGCTCTAATCCAGTGCATGATGTGTGACCTGCTTTAGCTGTAGTTCATCTACTAATAACATGTTTCTCATGCTCTAATCCAGTGCATGATGTGTGACCTGCTCTAGCTGTAGTTCATCTACTAATAACATGTTTCTCATGCTCTAATCCAGTGCATGATCAGTGACCTGCTTTAGCTGTAGTTCATCTACTAATAACATGTTTCCAATGCTCTAATCCAGTGCATGATCAGTGACCTGCTTTAGCTGTAGTTCATCTACTAATAACATGTTTCTCATGCTCTAATCCAGTGCATGAAGTGTGACCTGCTTTAGCTGTAGTTCATCTACTAATAACACGTTTCTCATGCTCTAATCCAGTGCATGATGTGTGACCTGCTCTAGCTGTAGTTCATCTACTAATAACATGTTTCTCATGCTCTAATCCAGTGTATGAAGTGTGACCTGCTCTAGCTGTAGTTCATCTACTAATAACATGTTTCTCATGCTCTAATCCAGTGCATGATGTGTGACCTGCTCTAGCTGTAGTTCATCTACTTATAACATGTTTCCAATGCTCTAATCCAGTGCATGATGTGTGACCTGCTCTAGCTGTAGTTCATCTACTAATAACATGTTTCTCATGCTCTAATCCAGTGCATGATGTGTGACCTGCTCTAGCTGTAGTTCATCTACTAATAACATGTTTCCAATGCTCTAATCCAGTGCATGATGTGTGACCTACTTTAGCTGTAGTTCATCTACTAATAACATGTTTCCAATGCTCTAATCCAGTGCATGATGTGTGACCTGCTTTAGCTGTAGTTCATCTACTAATAACATGTTTCTCATGCTCTAATCCAGTGTATGATGTGTGACCTGCTTTAGCTGTAGTTCATCTACTAATAACATGTTTCTCATGTTCTAATCTAGTGCATGATTTGAGACCTGCTTTAGCTGTAGTTCATCTACTAATAACATGTTTCTCATGCTCTAATCCAGTGCATGATGTGTGACCTGCTTTAGCTGTAGTTCATCTACTAATAACATGTTTCTCATGCTCTAATCCAGTGTATGATGTGTGACCTGCTTTAGCTGTAGTTCATCTACTAATAACATGTTTCTCATGTTCTAATCTAGTGCATGATTTGAGACCTGCTTTAGCTGTAGTTCATCTACTAATAACATGTTTCTCATGCTCTAATCCAGTGTATGATGTGTGACCTGCTCTAGCTGTAGTTCATCTACTAATAACATGTTTCCAATGCTCTAATCCAGTGCTTGATGTGTGACCTGCTCTAGCTGTAGTTCATCTACTAATAACATGTTTCCAATGCTCTAATCCAGTGCATGATGTGTGACCTGCTTTAGCTGTAGTTCATCTACTAATAACATGTTTCTCATGCTCTAGTCAAGTGCATGATGTGTGACCTGCTCTAGTTGTAGTTCATCTACATAACATGTTTCTCATGCTCTAATCCAGTGCATGATGTGTGACCTGCTCTAGTTGTAGTTCATCTACATAACATGTTTCTCATGCTCTAATCCAGTGTATGATGTGTGACCTGCTTTAGCTGTAGTTCATCTACTAATAACATGTTTCTCATGCTCTAATCCAGTACATGATGTGTGACCTGCTCTAGCTGTAGTTCATCTACTAATAACATGTTTCTCATGCTCTAATCCAGTGCATGATGTGTGACCTGCTTTAGCTGTAGTTCATCTACTAATAACATGTTTCTCATGCTCTAATCCAGTGCATGATGTGTGACCTACTTAAGCTGTAGTTCATCTACTAATAACATGTTTCTCATGCTCTAATCCAGTGCATGATGTGTGACCTGCTCTAGCTGTAGTTCATCTACTAATAACATGTTTCTCATGCTCTAATCCAGTGCATGATGTGTGACCTGCTCTAGCTGTAGTTCATCTACTAATAACATGTTTCTCATGCTCTAATCCAGTGCATGATCAGTGACCTGCTTTAGCTGTAGTTCATCTACTAATAACATGTTTCTCATGCTCTAATCCAGTGCATGATGTGTGACCTGCTTTAGCTGTAGTTCATCTACTAATAACATGTTTCTCATACTCTAATCCAGTGCATGATGTGTGACCTGCTCTAGCTGTAGTTCATCTACTAATAACATGTTTCTCATGCTCTAATCCAGTGTATGATGTGTGACCTGCTTTAGCTGTAGTTCATCTACTAATAACATGTTTCTCATGCTCTAATCCAGTGCATGATGTGTGACCTGCTCTAGCTGTAGTTCATCTACTAATAACATGTTACTCATGCTCTAATCCAGTGTATGATGTGTGACCTGCTTTAGCTGTAGTTCATCTACTAATAACATGTTTCCAATGCTCTAATCCAGTGTATGATGTGTGACCTGCTTTAGCTGTAGTTCATCTACTAATAACATGTTTCCAATGCTCTAATCCAGTGCATGATGTGTGACCTGCTTTAGCTGTAGTTCATCTACTAATAACAATTTTCTCATGCTCTAATCCAGTGCATGATGTGTGACCTGCTCTAGCTGTAGTTCATCTACTAATAACATGTTTCTCATGCTCTAATCCAGTGCATGATGTGTGACCTGCTTTAGCTGTA